ATGCCTACCACTTGCCGTTACCATAATCCTCAAACTTGTCATCTTATCACAATTAACATACTTTCAAATCACATTTACATATATACTGATATTGAAACATATAAGCACTTAGCAAATAAGTATGCCTTTAAAACCGTAAACATGTAAGCAAATAGCAAGTAAACATGTTTCATAAAACGGTAAGCACATAAAAACAAACACGTAATCAACGCAGGTCAACCTTCTACCCCTCTAGGCAAGCCACTACTTGTCGTCTGAAAGGCATTCGAACCTAACGCTCTAATACCAAATTTGTAACGACCCGAATCCGAGGGTTAGATTCGCCAACCGAGTTCTTACCCGAACTCGAAGTCAACTAAGACAATACCATCATACCCAAGGTCAATACATCATTACTAATTAAAATGTACAAATTTCTTTTACACAATTTCCAATGAATTTAAATACATAAACGAAGCCGCCATGGCTTACATACAACCTTATAACATTATAGAGATTTTTAGCGTCGCCTAAATCTGTGAATACAAGTCATACGCCATTTCTCCTCCGATTCCCTAAAAATATTAAGATAAGGGGTGAACTCAATAGCTCAGTATGAAATGCCTAAAACACCGGTTTTTGACTCCCTTGAGCCAACAACCAAAGAACATGAATAGAAAAGAAGCTGGGGTCATGGAATTGGAGTCCGTATAACATTTATAACATAACAATCAATACACGCAGTCACATATCACCATTCTTCAAAATCATGAACATGATATGAAGTGTGATGCATCCTATCCCAAACTTGGTCTTTACCGACCCAACACTCACTTTTCGAAAACCCGCTAAATGACTTTACGGAGGCGAGATTGATAGTTATCTCCGGTTCCAATTCTCGCAAAGCCTAGCAACCATTAAAGGGCATAGTATCAACTTTTTCACGCCCTACACCGGGTCGCGCTCCCTCTAGTTCAAGCTAGCCCCGAACTTACGAAATCCGATTCATTTCTAAATCCTTTCCTCACAATCCTTTCCAAACACATTTCTAAAAAAAAATCATTTCAAACTCATTTTTCCCAAACCATGCCCATGCCATGAATGGAATCATGCATGAATGAAATTGACATACACATGCTTGCATTTTATCAATTTAGCCATATATACTCATCATCGTAATCATTTATATACATATAACCTCAAGGAAACATTTCAATGCAAGGCATGCTCTTTAAACACCTTTGCAACCAAGCACATATATATATATATATATATATATATATATATATACACACATACATACATACACAATCAACATCATCTAAAGCATGTTTTGCCACAAAAACACATAATTAACATTTCAAATTTATCATTTTTAATCATGCTTAACAAGAAATCAAGTAAATGAACTCAACTAAAGTTAAAACTTAATGGTTTAGACATCCCTACCTCAAAAGTAACCAAAATTCATCCCGGGCCGGAAAAGTTAATGCCGGACAACAGAAGTCAACGCTAGTCAATGCCACAGAATGAAAAATTGTTCGGTGGGAATGTAGCCGACAACGAGAAGATTCTACTGTTCCAAAGGCTCGGCTCTGGAATCCGACTCGAAGTGGTCAAAACCCTCTCCAAAGTCTTAGATCCAAAAACTTTAAAAATTCGTAAAATAATCACCACTTCTCCAAAAATTAAATTCTTTAACTATGTGATAGAGAACAACAAGAAGAACATTTTCCTTCACAGAACCAACACCAAAAACCCTACCGATTGGCCAAAAAATGGAGGAGAAATTTGAAGCTAAAAAAAAAAAAAAAAAAAATTGAATTACAATGAATAAGAGAGAGATTCCATGAGAAGAAAAGCAGAAAGTTAATGGTCTGTAATGACCATGTGATGTGGTCATTATAATGGTGTTAAAAGTGGTGGCCGGTCCCACGGCTAAAATAACATTTCCTTTTGTCTTTTTATTTATATATATATATATGTGTGTGTGTGTGTACATACACTAATCACACCACAATCACATATTTAAACAGAGTCACATAATTATGTACCAAATAAATATGTACAAAATACAACGGTCCCGAAAAATAATATCTGTGCACGACAAATCTGGTAGTAGGCCCCGGGGACCTCCTTGCCCGAAAAAAAAAAAAAAAAATACCGAAATGACAACCAATGCATTTTCAAGAGTCCTGAACTCAGAAAAATATCCCAACCTACCTTCACAACTCACATGGCACACCCCACGGTATCCGACACGCAAAACGAAACAAAACTAAAATAATCAAAAAAATTCCATAAAATGGAAAAAGGGAAAAATCAAGATCATTACACCTTTTCAATTTTAAATTATTCAAATTTGAAATTTAAAACTCAAAGAATATATATGGAAAAGATGTGAAATATATTGTTTAAAAAAATAATGTGGACAATTATTTTGGGACAGACAAAAAAAAAAATGATACTTATTTTGGGATAAAAGGAATATTATTTAACGGTTAGTAATAATTTAATGGTATTATTGAACAGAACTATAATAAGGAATTTATATGTGTATTAGTTATCTTTTTGAATTTATATTTGTATCGTCCTGTTATATTTGTGTAATCATCATATAATAATTTAATATGCTACTTTAACTGCTAATATTTTAAGCATTAAGTATTTTTAAGTGTTATTAAGTATTACTATGTATATTTTAATTCTATTACAGTTTTTAAGGGAACATATAATTAATGTTTTGTCTCCTTTTAAAATTACATGTTGTCAATTGTCATTTGTATAGGTTGAGAGATTTTTAAAACATAAAAGGATAATTGTGAAAAAATAACATTGGTTTTGAATTTTTGATTTTTTGAATGAGACAACTAATTTGGAAAATCCTTAAAAGGATAGATGGACTAATAATATATGAGAGAAGGAGTACCCTATGTATCATAAATAATTCCTATTAATACTCAATAACAAGAGAAAAATAATAAATACCCATAAATAATTCTCTCTCTTCATATAAATAGATTAGGTTAATATCTTATTATAAATACCCATACATACATGGATATGCCACAAGAGAAGCCACCAACTAGTGCAATCAAATGGCAAAGTTCACCAATTTCTACGTTCTCTTTGCACTACTCGCATTTGCTGCTGGTATATTATTTTTCTTTCAAATTTTCTAATTAAAAATTCATGCTTACATGTTTCTTTTTATTAAAAATCTATATCTTATTATATCGATGGCTATTGATTAGGGAAGTACTGCATAAAAATTAGATCCTCTCCCATTTGGAGGGTCATATATACCACACTATATAATTTGTTTGTTTGTTTGTTTGTTTGATTCATGTAGTTGCGACTACCATGGTGGAAGGATGCACGGAGATTATAACTTACCCATATAATCCACCAAACTTAAGTTGTCATGACGCTGATTGTGATGACCAATGCAAGAGGTTCCATAGTAATTATGCTAGTGGATACTGTCTTGGACACACGCCTGTTAGAACTCAATGTCAATGCACTTGGCCCTGCGCAGATGAAGCTGTAGCTTAATTTGCTCAGCCGGATCCAATAATAAATTAATAAAAGATCTAGTTTCGTTAATTTCTTCTATATATATATACACATTTCTATGATGAATGATTTCTTCATTTGAATATATATTTGGTTTGGATGAAATTATTCCATGTGTGTATTGTCATTTTGCATATTCCAAAAAAAAAAAAGTGGTAAATTCATATTGTGAGATAAATTAAAGGAGAGTACATATTGCAATTGATTGAGGATTTAATAATATATATTAATACATCTTTTTTAATTATCAAATCAGAGATGGTAGATATATGCTCACTAAATCAAAAATAGTAGATTAGGACTTTTTCACATCAACAATTAAGATGATGTATATCCTCACACATGAAAATCTAAGTTTTGGTCACTAATTAATTATACAACATTATCTATTTCGGCCGAATTTTAAAATATTCTAAGCTTTTAAATCATTTGTTACACCAAATTAAACAAGATTGATATTAATATTCCTCTAATTTAATAATGCTACCAAACCAATTATTTTCATGAACGTTGCATGAAGAATTGAACTAAAGGAATCATGAAGTATGAAATTCGATCATCTGATTTCGTGAGCGGCTGTATAATTTACATCTTCAACTTCAAAAAGTAACTTACTATTCAATCATCTTCCACATGATCAAAGGGACTTTGATTTCTGGATATTTGATGATATAATTTTTCTGTACAATTAATCCAAGGTTTTTTCGTCAATTTGAATATAAATTTCAATACTTCTTTAGCATGTTTGAAGGTATCAAGTGCCTAATGGAGGAGTATCGTTGAACATCATTCCATTTTCAGTTTCAGGAGATGAGAACTTGTCTAAAGGAATTAAGGCACTAATGTCATGTCCTGAGTAATAACTATTATAAGCAGTACTTCTTACTATCATCTGTTTTTTCTGTTCTTTATCGCATCAAAACGTTTAAATGAGAAGCCTGTTCAGATTGTCCATTGAAGAAACGGTATCTAACACTCTATATTGCACAACCTCTTCAAGCTACCGGTGGACTAACGAGTCCTCTCTATTGTTTTTTTGTTCTATACTTAACATCTGCTTGATTATATATATCTATATGCAATTGTAGATCATAACTGAATCACAATTTAGGTTCTTGGATGCCACTACGGATATAGAAGGTTTTCCGTTGGCTGGAGTTCCTGATGCAGGTGAGTTCAATGCCATTTTTGCTGTCATCTTATGGGATTCAAAACAGGAATGTGACCAAAGCATGAAGGAGTTCACTCACTAGAGCACAGTGATCCACAAAATTGAAGGAAGATATTACATTAGCAACTGCTTTCGGTTCAAATTAAATAAGCTGGTATTCCTATTTGATAGGTTAAAGTTATCATTTTAGGTTCAGGAAGCAGAATGCTTGAGCTAAAGTTAGACATCTTTCACTGGTGGTCTTATTGATGATAACGGTAAATCACAACTCAAAAACACCACACAATTTAAGATGAATGGTCATATCGATTAATTTTTTGAATAAATTTTATACAAAGCAAGAAGGATGGGAAGAAAATTTTTACATTCACCAGTAGTCCCTACAAGAGCAAGTTCCATCTTTAAAATGGTGGAACTGATTTCGCTCCCTAACAGTTATCTTTCTTTCATAGATCATTGAAATTAATTTCGTGTAAGTGTGACAATCACTACACATTCTGATGTTTCTTGCTATCCTTATAGGAGATCCCTGAGATGTATGTATCAGGGCGAAGGCAATTGCCAGCTTCTGACTATGCCGACTTAATCGCTGTCTCTTCTCTTCTTCATCTCCATCAAGCAACACTTGCGATGTGTCGGGGGTATAGCCTTCGAATTTCAACTGCCACTCCATCTGGTGAAGCATCTCATAGGTAACATCACAATGGGGATGTGACATGTCCTGTGAAACAAATTTATAGACCTTCCTCTTCACCTCTACCAAGCTAAATCCAACCACTTGGGTCAATCCCTTATGAACCATTTTGGTCCGAGTCAAAGCCACATCATGCCACTTTTGAGCTTTCGCATACATATTTGATAAAACTACATAGTCACTAGCAGTATCTGAGTTTAACTGGAATAGTTTTTTTGCTGCAATCTCCCCTAATTCTATGTCATGATGAACCTTGCAAGCGCTGAGAAGACAGCGCCACAAAACATCATTTGGCTCCATTGGCATGCTGTTGATAAGCTTGAAAGCTCTATCCAGCATATCAGCTCGGGCCATGAGATCTACCATGCACCCGTAATGTTGCATTGTTGGTTCTATCCCATGCTCAATTTTCATTCTTTCAAAACATTGGAGACCCTCCTCAACAAGGCCTGCTCGACTGCAAGCACTCAACACACCTACATAAATGACATCGTCTGGTTTGAACCCCTCTTCCAGCATTTCTGAGAAGACCTTTAGAGCTTCCAGACCTCGTCCATGCATGGCGAGGCCTGAGATAATGACACTGCGGGACAATTGGTTCTTCTTGGCCATCCTTTGGAAAAGGCAAAGCCCTTTTTCTAGAGATCCACATTTTAAATACATGTCTATCAAGGAAGTCTCTACTATAACATTGAGACCACTCATGTTCCTTAATAAGGACCCATGTGTGCATCTTCCTAAATCAAGGGCACCCAAATGTGTACATGCAGAGAGCACACTGACTAATATACTCTCCTCAGCCTTCCTACATCCTTCACTACTCATGTCACCAAAGAGCCTAAGGCACTCAGACCACATGCCCCTACCAGCATGAGCTGCAATAAGTGCACTCCAAGAAGCAATACTCCTCTGATCCATCTGCTCAAAAACCGCACAAGAGTTCCTCACCTTCCCACACTTACCATACATGCTGATCAAACTATTCTTCACAAATTCATCATCTACAAGTCCTAGCTTGAATACATGCCCATGAATTTGCATTCCTTCCTGAAGTGCTGGTATAAGCGCACACGCCTTCAGAAGAGCCGGATACGTGAAATTATCCGGTTCAACCCCTCTATCAAGCATATCATCATACACAAAGAGGGCTTCCTCTAGGTTCATACTCTTGACATGCCCTCTGATCATAATATTGAATATGAATGAACAGGGTTCATCGATTTGACGGTAGATTGAGCTTGCATACTCCATGCTGGCCCAATCCGAGAGAGCACAAGTTGTAACAAGATTGCTGGAACAGAAAGAGTTCCCAAATAACCCCAACTTGAGGATTTGGCCATGTACTTGCCTAAATTCTTCTATGGTCTTGCATTTCTTTACAAGGGAGACACATTCTTGTTCTTTCAGCCTAAAGTCAAATTTTAGGGTTTGTGGGTGATCTTCCTGTGGCACCAACAAATGGGTTTGATGGAGGACAGGTGTCCTGATCATCATGTCATCTACACCATGATATACCAATTAATCTAGAATTTCTAAATTTAGCATAGGCAAACTAAATATAGAGCAATATGAAATCCATCATGTTATTTGACATCAACTTTAAAGTGAAACTGAACAAAAGAAACAACAAATAGAAAAGTGAAAGAAATTGAACCAGGAAAGCAAGGCTGCAATGCTTTGATGAATTGGAGAGATGAGTATAGCTAAATTGGGCAAGAAAGTGATCTCAGTTGTTACACTGATGCTATGACTCTGTTGAACTCAAAAGGAACGCTTGACCAAAATAAAGAAGAGAATGGAAATGAACTCCTCTTCTTTTACATGGTTTGAAACCTCTCTTTAGTTTGATTGTTGAGGATGGGAATATTTTGTAAGCAGTTGATTAGAGGGGACGATTTGAATCTCATCCATGAGATCTGGAAGAGAACTCTAGCCAGAGAAAGCGTATCAGATTATGGGACATGTAGATACCAGATAGGATAATGTTTTTTTGAAAGTTGGATTTGGATACACGCTAGATTCCTTCATCGACCTCCATAACCAATCATATTATGGGAAAAATCCAGTAGATCCTTCCAACTGTGTGTTGTAAGATGATGTAGGACCACCTTCTAGTTTTGGAAGGAAACTTTGGAAAAATTATTTGGGACAATATAATATAATCGACTTTTTAACAGTGACACTTCTCTTATTTTAAATGTTATATTTATTTTTGATTATTAATTTAATTAATTTATAAATTTTTTTTTCTTTTTATTGACAAAATTACCTTCATCGTCAAGTCTTTTTTTCTGTCTTAATCTCTATTTATTTATTTATTTTCTTAATCATTTTAAGTGACATTGATCAAAATTTCAAAAAATATCACAATTTATCCTAATATATATTAAAAGATTAATTTCTCAAATTTAAAAAACTAAGATTCCCCCCACATTTTATGGGACGAATTTATTTTTATTTACTCTTTTTATCTTTTTAATTTGAAACACGTTTTGCATCCCTCATAAATTATTCATTTTTAACACATAAAATATTGGACCAAATCTCAGTCTTCAAGCCTTACCCACCATACCATCATCCATGCAACAAAAATGACTAGTATAATGCGCTAAATTTTCATATGAAGTGTAAAAGGGTAAATTAAAAAATAATACTGTAATATGTTTTTATTGTTAATTTAATTTTTATTTTTACATAGACAACAATAATACATTAATTTTAAATAAATGTCTAGTTACTGTTATATAAAATCAATTTTTGACTTGTACTCCTAGGATTTTCGTTTCCTTCGAGTACTAAATTTACTTACTAGTAGAACGTTTGCCTTGCTCAAGCGGGCTGAAGCACAGAACCGCCGTCAATGGAGGACAAGAAGGAAGCTGAACTCCTCATCCTACCACCACCACCAACCTCTCAAAACCCTAATTCGAACCCCAATCACTCCCAACAACCACAATCACAACCACCACCACCGCAGTCTCGGCCGCGGCCGAAGCGGTTCGTGAAGAACCAAATCCCGGACTCCATCACCGCCAACGCCGCTCTCAACGCCGCCATCGCCCTCCTACCTTCCAACTACAACTTCGAGGTCCACAAGTGCGTATGGCGCGTGCTCTCCACCAACGCCAAGCGCGTCGCCCTCCAGTTCCCCGAGGGCCTCCTCATGTACTCCCTCGTCCTCTCCGACATCTTCACCGCCTTCGCCGCCGTTGACCGCTGCTTTATCCTCGGCGATGTCACCTACGGCGCCTGTTGCGTCGACGACCTTTCCGCCGCCGCCCTCGGCGCGGATCTCCTCATTCATTATGGTCACAGCTGTCTCGTCCCGATCGACTCTACTGTAATCCCCTGTCTCTACGTCTTCGTCGACATCAAGATCGATGTTCACCGACTTATCAACACCATTAATCTGAATTTCGATTCCTCACTCATCAAACAGCTCATTCTGGCAGGGACGATTCAGTTCGCAACGGCAATTCGGGAAGCGAAACCTGAATTGGAGAATTCAGGGTTTAGGGTTTTGGTGCCTCAGTCGAAGCCGTTGTCGGCCGGGGAGGTTCTGGGTTGCACTGCGCCCACGATTCCGAGAAGTTCTATCAATGATGATGACGAAGTTGTTCTTGTTTTTGTGGCAGATGGGAGGTTCCATTTGGAAGCTTTCATGATTGCAAACCCTAAAATTAAGGCTTTTCGATATGACCCATATCTGGCAAAGTTGTTCTTAGAAGAGTATGATCATAAGGGTATGAAGGAAACTAGAAAAAATGCAATTTTGAAGGCAAGGGAAGCGAAGAATTGGGCAATTGTGCTGGGGACTTTGGGGAGGCAAGGGAATCCGAGGATTCTCGATAGGTTGGAGAAGAAGATGACAGAGAAGGGTTTGGATTGGACTGTTGTGTTAATGTCGGAGCTATCTCCGGCTAGGGTTGCTCTATTCGGGGACTCTGTCGATGCTTGGATTCAGATAGCTTGTCCCCGGCTCTCAATTGATTGGGGTGATGCATTTGAGAAGCCACTTTTGACCCCTTTCGAAGCTGAGATTGCTCTTGGTGATATGCTAGGTTGGTGGGAGAAAGTGAACTTGAATTCAGATTGCAAGGATGGTTTGATTTGTGCAAAAAATGAATCGTGTTGTGAGTGTAGCAATGGCAGTGCAACAGATAAGGAAGAGAGTATTGTTGATTATCCTATGGACTATTATGCTCAGGATGGGGGAGAATGGAATTCTTGTTACTCGAAGAAGCCATCACGGCCTCCACGGAGAAATCTTCAATATCGTAATGATAATGCTGCAGTTACCTAAGATGAACAAGAGGCTGCAATGAATTCCTAGGATGTGATCACTGACTATATTCCATGAAGGGTACTCAAACCTCATAGTCCAAGTGAGTGTGTCAAATTTTGCTTGTAATTTTTCGAATTATAATGCAGATGCTTGTTATTTAGATGTTGCTTTAACCTCCATTTTCTTTTATACATTGTAATGTAGGTGAGTAACAAAATGAGAGTTGAGAATTGCATTTGAGCTATTCTGTTAGTTTTTTCTCTGTCCCATATGTATTAGCATTTTTAAACAATTTTCTCCAAGTGAGTATTTTGAATTGCAATAATGACTACTGCAAAATGTTTTGTTTCTAAATGTTTCTTTACTTTCCGTTTTTTTTTTCTTTTTCTTTTTTTTTTATTGTACTATTGCTATAGGAGAATACAAAATATGGAAGCTGAGAATTATCTTTTGCTTTTAGCTGTTCTGTTAGTTCTTTTCACCTATGGGGAGAGAATTCGTAATTTTTCTTCTTTTTCCCCCTCTATCACTCGTATATTTGCCAATGATGATAATTGAAATTAATCTCTTCTTCCATCAAGTTCCTGAAAGGAACTACAGATGAGAGATAAATAAAAGTAACCAATATCTGTTCTGGTTAAAACAAGTGATGCAACTAAGAATTCAGCACAAAAATCCTGGAAATAATCTCAATTGACCAAAACTAATATTTTAACCGCATGGTACCTTTCAAATATATATATATATATATATATATATATAACGACAGATTGTTATAGGACATACTCTTTAGAAGCCATCCTCACACCCACCTCCCCCGGAAGTTAAAAGAGGCTTGAAGGACTGGTTTTTGACACTTTGCAGGGGGTTAACTTGAGGGGTGTCCTATGCCCATGTAGTGGCCCATGGAACTGTCAGGTAAGCATGTAACTTTTCTTCCATGGAGCTACTTGGAAAATAATAATAGGAGATTTCTGTCCATCAACAAAAGGTTAGTATCATTTAAATGCACTAATTAGTTATGGATTTGCAGTTTTTGTTATTGTGTAAAAGCTTTTAAATAACTGTATCCCATACAAGTTAAGCTCTTGAAGCTATGGCTCTTCCTTTTCTAATTTTCTCCTGGAAAACGGGCTTGTAAGAACTATTTTTAGTTCTTAATTATTTGCCCTATAAAAAGAAAAATAAGGATTTATTTGGATTGCTAATCCTGGCATTCTGAAACCCAAGTGTTAGATGTTACATGATTAGAGTATTAACCTTTTTCTAATAATCTGATTTAAACAGAGAACTTTGATTAACAATCTGACTTAAACAGAAAGCTTTGAGCAGTGATAGCTGTGATTCATTGCACAATTGTTTATAACCTCTATAAATCACCGTAACGATGGAGATATTGAACCTTCTCCAAATCTTCTCTATATCCAGCTTGTTTGAGGCTTGTGCAGGGTGGAACCGCTTTTGTTTTAAATTAGAACCCAAAAAAATACAAGCTTCGGCCAAGTGCAGTCAGCACTTCCCTCTGTCTTCTGAATTTTGTGGAAATATGGATATCCAAATGAGTCACTAGGAATCTCTTGGAATTATCATGAGAATTTTTCCTTCGTGGCATTGTAACTTGCAAGTTAACTTTAGGGTGCTATTGTTAGTAGCTTCCCAAATGAACCTTTACGGAAAGCATGAAATAGGAATAATGCATGGAGAGAGAATTTATGTGGCCGACCCACTCATATATGATTAAGGCAGGCGAGGATGACCACAATGATGATGATTACTACATATGATAGTGTGAAGAGTGAGGATGTCAGGGGTTGGGCTATCAGGAGCTGACAATATTGTCGTGCTAGTAGATCAGGACTCAGGTGGTGGGTTTCATGCTGATTGAAGCAATTGAAGCTTTAAATGATACACTGCAGTTGCAATCAGAATCAAATTTGGACTGTGAAACAGTTGAAAACGCAATTTTATTATTATCCAATGAAATTTTCAACATTGAAAGAATATACTTTTCTGCAAGAAAAATTTTTCGTGATTTATTTCAGATTAGCAATGGTTAATAAATCTTTGTACTTAAGCTTATATGTTTCTGTAGGGAATGCACACCATTGAAAATTTGAAGGCTCGTTGGAGACTTGATGACTAAATTGTGTCCCCCAAAAGGTTCTTCTTGAAAGAAGAAGGCAGATAGAAGTGGAAATTTAAGTTGGTTCACGTATACAGATGCAATGCAAAACCCACAATAAAGAAACAGGGCTGTTCCAGAAGAGTATACAAAGCGCAGAGATGATGTTCTACTCCGTCACTTTAAACTTATTAATAATAAATGGTGATTACCAAACTGAAGATGAAGTGTGTACAGATAGTGTAAATCAAAATGCATTTAATCCACCAAAGAATGGATCACATCTGATTGTAACTAAAAAATAACTTTCCAGTACACGGTTCGATAAACATTCTTAAAAATAAACAGCCATCCTTCAATTGACTCATCGTTGTCTCCTGATTCTTGGCAAGCCACTACAAATGGGACAGTTCAAACAAAAGAAAATACAAGAGGCTGCTCCTATTAAAAAAATTATGCATGAAATGGTAAGGCGGTGAGAGGACACGTAAAAGCTTTGCCCAAGCGACAAACTGTTTCATCATCTTTTGCCTACCTGTTCGTTCTGAACAGGAACAGATTCTCACAAAGGGCAGTAATCAAGAAATCAAGATCACGATGCCACTAAATCAGGTGTTTCTGCCTCAACAGATAACAAAGTAGTGTGTACTTTGCTGATCCAATTGTCAAGATGATCACGCAATGATTTGATCTGGGGAATCCCCAAAACTCTTGGTTGCACCCAGGAAACATGAACAGTTCCCTCAACTTGATCAACTATTCCCTCAATAAGATGAACCTGCAATAAAATTTCCCGTTGGAACTTTTGATGGACAAGCTTTCGCAAAATTTCAGAAAGTAACCAATGGGCACTAGCCCATATGGTATGAGCTCTCTTTACCAAATGAGGAGGTTGAATGTGAACCTCAGTAGAGGCAAAATATATGTAGTGGGTGTGTGTGTGTGTGTACTTTTAACTTTCAAGAAAAGGGATTTCAGAAAGTAAATATCATATCAACGAGGTAATGCAACAAACTAGAATAGGGAAGCACAGGCAAAGTGCAAAGAAAACAATCACTTTTAGCAGCTAAGGAACCCAAAAATCTCATTTCTTATAATCCATAAAATCATCAAATTCAAAACTTGAATAGCTCGAACAAGGCATTGAATATGATGAAGTTGATGAAAAAAATAAAAGTGGGAAAAAAAACAAATGCAAGTCAATAATAGACCAAGCATTCACAAGACAAAATGCAGAAAATGAGAAAATAAGTGTGAAATATATCAATAACAAGCAAGTCCAACGAGGCAGAAATTTTAAGCGTTCATAAAACAGTCAAAATTTCAAGAATGTGCACTTACTGAAAGGCTCTTCATGAGAAGATACTCCACATCCTCCACAGTAAGTTTTGTGCGCTCTGCAATGATACTTAATGGAATAGTTCTATCTTCTGATGGTCGACTGCAAGGAAGCACATATCAGTTGCATCATAACAAGATATGCAATGCTAATGAATGAAATACTAAAATAAAATCAGAAGTGCAATGGAAATACTAACATACCTGAAGATGATTTCCATCAAGCAGAGAATATTAATCTTTTCCAAAAGCTTCTTCTCATTCTCCACTAGTGCTGGTTGAGCACTCAAAGCAGCTCTATGCACATGGCATAATTCTTGATAGTGAATTAAATCACCAGCATTGAATGCTTCGAGAATATAGTAGAGCCACTCAACCTTTGTGCCCAGTAGAGACTTTATCTGCAGAGGTTATAAGATGTCATATCCCAGTGTATCACATTGCAAAATAGAAAGTGTACAAGGAACTGTTAAGGGACAATGTATGACGTCAACAATGTCTGCATTTGACTTATGCTAGTCCATCTACGTAAAATATGTGTAAAAGGAACCCCAATGGGTTGGCTCAAGTGGATAAGTGTTTCAAGTGTCCCACATCTGATCCGGATGGGGAAGTAAAAGGGTATATATGGGCTGGGTGTTAGCCCCACCTGACAGCTTAAGCTTTTGGGTCGGATCGCGAAGCACCCACCTGTTACAGTTGGTATCATGGTATCAGAGCCAGATCCAGTCTGTGTCACACCAAGTGCCCAGCCCGAAGGCTCGACCGCAACATTGACAGATATGCAATCCGGTCAGAAAGAAAACTAAATTGGGAAAGAATAAATTCATTGACATGCATGATTCGTTAAATGAAGACATAGCTCTAGATTTTATAGGAACATTTGCAGTTTGCACTTTCGCAGTAATCATCAAAGATTACGTACATCTTTAACAAATCATAAAATCAAAATCTTCCCAAAGCAACCTTTGGTCTTTGATTCTCCAAAATTGGTCATTGGACCTATTGGTCCAAGGGAAGCAAGTTTAAAATAAAATGGAGAAAACTGTATCACCATAGAGAAATATAATCAGAAAATAGAGTTGAGGATGTACAGATGTTGCACCCATTATCATAATGGTATCTTTTTCCATTTTTGGCCACTTTTTGCCAGGTATTAGACTACCAAAATCTTGTTCCGTGATTCTATTTATCCAATAGCACATCCTCCCGTGCAACTAGAAAACAAAAAATACCAACCACCTTGTCTCTTATATACTCCACCATCATCATCCTAGCCTTAATCCAAAGCAAAAAAGGTTGGCCACATGAAATTTCTTATATACTCCTTCCATCCCATATTAGAAGTCCTTTTATAACTTCTAGATGTCCCAAAATAAATGTCCCTATTGAAAAGTCAACATACACTAAATTTCCCTTTTACGTAAAAATAATTACCACAAAACACAACATGGTAAATAAGTAAATTTTAGAGGGACAATTTTTTAAATTCAATATTTCCCAACACAATACAAATGCATTACATGTCATTTTCTGAAAAAGTTTGAATCACTTTTGAAGAGAAAAACTATGGCAGGCCAAGAGGTAACATTCTTTCCTCTCATCTCGTCCCCTCTCTTTCCTTCCCATCAAACGAGGGAACTGCATCCATCCTACCCTTAAGAACTTTGGATAAGATTGTATGACAGAAAAAATTTTACAATGCCAGTGAAAATAAACTTACAATTGGATGTGCAAGCAGTTCCCCAAAGTTATATATGTTTTCTCCCAGCAATGCCGATAGGGATAAATCAAATGCCAAGTCCTAAAACATGATACAAAACAGTATTAGAAGGCTAATTTTAACAACAGACAGCTTAACAAGGCATGGACACAAAACTTGAAGAATTAATCCACATTAATCAATGACTTAAAATCATAATGATCTTATGCTTCCTTGGTAAGATGCGATTCCTCTACAGTTACTACAATACTACTATCTTATGCTTTGATTGTTTGTACTCACAAAAGATTCTTCAAAAACATTTTAACTATAAGTATCTTAACTCTATACAAAATTTACTTTTAATTATTAAAACAAAAATTGAAATCAATTAGGTTTCAAAGCCCAATTTGAATCCAACAGCACACTCGATAGCCATGATGTAGAAAAGGAGAAATTTCAAAAAAAAAAAAATCAATTCAACTCTAGAGACTTAAACTGCATAAAACTGAAACATGAACAAATATATTTACAAGTTGCAAAAACAATAACAAAAGAATGTTGAAACATGCTTGATTAAAATATATAAGTATTTTTACTAAAACTGATTTCAACTCTCAACTAATCTAACAAGTCAAAACAACCTTGTGACGTACAGCAAATAAAATCATAACAGACACCTTGTATTTGTATCTATTTTTAAATAATAATAAACACATACGATAATTGTGTACCAGTTTAAATGATTCTGAAAGAGACTCCACTGATGTGTAAGCTAAATAGAGAAGAGCACTTCTGTAGAATTCAGCAAATTCTTGGCGTGATTTATGGTATTGAGATGAAACCCAGTAATAGCTGGCATATACAGAGGGATCAATGTCGGTCATGCTGTCGAGCATACTCTTTCCATCTTCTAGAAGTTTCTTGCACTCTTTGTGTTCCCCATTCTCAAGCTTGAAGATAGCTATTTGCATCTTAATGTAAAGGATTGGCTCCTCTATACGCATCTCTTTAGTGGCTCGAAGCTTTTCAATCACCCCTTCAAGATAACTAGTGGCAGCTTCTTTCTCCGAATACTGTCGAGAAACTATGACAGCGAAATGCGCAAGCTTCAGAAGATTGATCTTAGTCTCAAAGTCAGTGATGAAATTATGATATAACTGTATGAGAGCATCACCAGCCTGAAATTAATTACAATGGAAGGTGTCAAATGTGCCGAGAGAGAGAGAGAGAGAAATGGAGTGTTCAAACAGGCTTTCAGTCAAGCACAAGCAGAACATAGATACAAGCAGCTCAAAAATATGTGTACATAATAGATTGCATAATGCAAAAAATAAATAATAAATAATTATAATAATACTCTTATTTGCAGTAAGATCTAACCAGAAAAAAATAAGTACATCTATAAGCTGCAGATCATAATTAAAATTTTCAGTAACACCAAATAAGCTAGGCAAGAAAACTAAATAATTTGGAGTAAGAAAGAAATATATATACACACATATAAATTCACATAATTCTACTTGATTGATTATAACAACTCCATTCCTTGTCATCCCTACAAGTTTGAAAATTCATTGGTTCCCACTTCATAACACAAGTTAAAATCTCATTGTAATATGATAATTCTAAGCTTTGTTCAGTAGGAAGGAAGGAAGAGGTGTTGAGAGAAGATAGGAAGGAAGTAATAAACTTCCTTCGTTTGGTAGAGAGGATACAATGAGATAAAGGATAGTAGGAGCGATGAGTCATCCTACCTCCTTTACAAATTTTCATCCCTCCAAATATGGGAGTAAGAAATGAGGGAAGACAAGTGGGGCTATTATAGAAGTTTTAAATTACTACTATCCTAAATTATACAAACACAGTAAATTACTATTATCCTAAATTAAAACTCTCCCTTCCCTTCTCTCCTAATAAACAATAAATTATAAGTTTATTCTCTTCTTTTCATCCAACCAAACCAAAAGAAGGAAGGACACAATCTCTTATCTAAGGATGTCTCATCCAACCGTTCTTCTCTACCTTCCATCCAATTTTTTTCTTTCCTACCGAACGAAGCATTAGTTAACTAAGGCTCCTCTTTCTTTTACACCAAGGTTTGATTGGTGAACATATTTCAACAAAAACCGCCACATATTTGGTCTTCATTCTTTCTCCTGACTGCTATGATAAGGGGAAATGATCTACTGAGTACTAATAACTAACGAGATCCATGAAGTGAAGTGAAATGAAAACCTTGCCTGAAGATGACAATGAAATGCGTATTGCTTTTAAAATATTCCAGACACCAAAAGCCATAAACAACCCATCCCTGGCATGCAAGGGCACTGAGATACTAAATATCATCAGTGAAGCATCGCAAATTGCAATTCAAACAAAAGTGAAGATGCTAACCTCAAAAAATTCTCTTCTTTATAGAAGAAAATTGAAACACTGGTCAGATGAGTGAAAGAAGGGAAAAAAAGTAACACTCTTTTTCGTTATCAATTCTTCACAAAAACTATTCTGAAAATCACTTCCAAAATCCTGTCCATCATAGAGAAGAATGGTCTACCAAATAACTGGCTGACACAGATGACTTTCTCAATAGCATTTGTTAATAGCGGAGCTAACTCCTATCATATCACATTTCATATATTGCACCTAATTAAACATTCAACAAATTTTCAAAGAGGCTAACTGTGAAAGTGCTTCTTTAGAAACCTGATACATCCAAACCAACTGAACCAGTTTAATTCAAGCCAAGAAACCGTCACCAAGCCATATCACTCTACATGTGATTTTTCCACTTGTTGAAAAATAAAGCATTAATCCATCAAGCTAGTAAGCCATTATAAACACAGCTGACACATAAGTGAATCATGACCTCACTTTTCAAAAAGAAAAAGTAAATCATGACCAGGACAACTCGCTTTGCCCAATGAGATAAAACACATTAAAAGAATTTCATTTTAACCCAAAAAACTTAGGGAGTTATGGTTTTGTTAAGATGTGAATTCATGGTATCATTTCCTACATAAAATATATAGAAAAGTTCTTTTGAATTTATTTACTTCACATTTCAGCAAAAGTGTAATTGAGTGAATATTAGGCAGTTTCTGAAGTTGCAAGTGTTTATCAGAACATCCTTACCCCAGGGGAAAAAAAAAAAGATAAAAAAGTGTGTCAGATCTAGGAATTCGTGAACTACCACCTGGATGTCTTCTTGAGAGAAAAGATAAACCAATAATTTGGTTGGATTTTGAGTTTGAACTAGATTTAAAGACATTGGTAACAAGAATAACAAACCGGGTCACATGTTAGCCAATAATGACCAGAACATCAAATTATGTGACCAATACCACATATTCTTTAACATTGTTCTGATTATTAAATTGGTATATATATTCAAATCATAGAAAAAGACAAGGAGAAAAAAACACTACTCTTATATAAGCAAGGTATTTCTTGATTGGCCACAAGATCGTTCACTGCTCATTCTAAGATTGTCGCAAATAAAACTTTTCTTGTGTATGGAATTTGCACTAGGGGGTAAGAAGGTCAAATGATACTATAACATCCTTATATGAAAGTTGCATTGAATTAAATTTGAAGAAAATAATAATCTTTTTACATTTTAAGGCAGGATTAACTATTAAAAATCAGACACAGAAATAGTTTCATATCTGTACAAGGTTTAGACTGGTCTCTGCTAGTTCCAGACCTATTCCCATTCTCTCTATCAATATAACTTGAAATCCTACAAGTTTGCCTTTTTCTTGTTAGGTCATTTTCTAACTGCAAGTTTTAAGAATGTTGGATGCTCGGGGAGGCCATATAGGCTTCCCTCAGTTAATTCAGGTATTTCCTTCTTTAGAAATATAACAACAAAATAAAAAGCTTCAAATTTGGGTTTCCTTATCTTTTCCTCGATTCACTCATAAACCAAAATCAAATTGTGGACCTTTTTATAGACTCTAGCACCCATTAGACAAAAAAAAACCCTAACTTTAACAATAAACCCCGAAACCCCACGAGATCTCCAAACCCTAATTCAGTAAAAGAATTAAACACATCACCCAATACCCAACTATATAGCAGAAGCCCTGAAATTTCTTAAACCCAAATATATCACAAAGCCAACTAATGGCTAAGGAAAATAATTACAATATATATATACACACACACACATAAACATGGAAATTGTGATTGAAAAAGGGCAAAAGCATCGATAAGAAAGGTACTGGCCTGAAAAACAGCTAGAGCGACGAACTGTTCGAGCTTGAGAGTAAGCTGATGCCATAGCTTCTTCTGGTACAGATCTGCTAGCGTATTGTACCAATCTCCAAGCTCTGGATGGACATTGCGCAGAGAATCGAGGTACTGAAGAGCGGCCATGGCGTGCTCGAACGGTAAACACGAAGGTACAGAAAAAGAAGAGAGGTTTTGAGAGAGAGTGGGGGAAAGAAATCGAAACCCGTTTCGTGCGTTTATATGTACACACAGTACTTTAAAACCTTTTTTTCTCCTATTGTGTCTTTTCTTCTGCTCAAAGGAAGGAATGGATCCAATCCGGGTTTCTTCAGTTTTAGGAAGATGAAAATTTTGTTTTATCGGTCCGACCGACCCGGCTGATATGGGTTTGATGTACGGTTGCAATTCGTAATCCCAGCCTAACCCAACCCATAAAATATTCGTTCGACTTTAATTCAACCTTAAATTTACTTTCAATCGGAGGCCAATTCATCATTTTATTTTTCAAAATGAATTTATTAATTGGATCGGGATTTCGAATTCGATTGTGACTTAGTTCGGGTTGCTTACATGATTGATCTTTACAATAAAAATTTAATCTGATCTTGAGTTAAATTCAAATTAAATTACTTTTAAACACCAAAGGTTTTAATAATTTATTATAAATTTTTAATAATTTATAAACAATTTTTTAAAAAATTAATTCTTCAAAATGTTAAAATATGGTAAATTAAAATTTAAAAAAACAAAGTTGAAACAAAAAAAAAAAAAAAAAAAAAAACTGATCATAATTTGAATATTATATATAATATATTTAAAATAATATATATATATATATATATATATGAAAATAAAATTAAAATTTGGGTTTTAATTGGGCTTGGGCGGCTAACACTTCTATCCAAGTCTAGGTCTAATTAAGTTCAGTTTAAAAAAATTTAATTCAAAATCAACGTTAATTGTAAAAAAGGCAAATTACAAAAATTCCCCCTCGACTATTAGTCGAAAAACCCGTTTATGAATATTTTTGGCAAAAATTTCCCCTCAACTATCCCAAGGGGGTTTTTTTAACTAATGTCTGTTTAAGTGATTGTTTGAGGGAATTTTTCGAACTAAATAACTCTTTAAAAGATTATTTTTCAAACAATTTATTTATTAATTTTCTCTCTCTCGACCAAGCAAGTATGTGAAGCAGCAAAGAAAAATTACCAAAAATAATAATAATCATAATTATGGAAAGTCAATAAAATCATATTTAAGCTATGTATAATTAATAAAATAAAATTGAGTACAACCGCACGTGAGAGAGAAAATCCACCATGGCATTGAAATAGAAAAAGAAAATATTAAGCAACTCAAGAATTCCTTCAGTACACTTGATCTTTAGCAACCATTATAAAGTAAATTATTTAAAAAATAATAATTAATAATTTGTCATGTTTCCTTAGTCCAATTTCTTTATTTTCCTTTATTGAATTATGCTACTGCAAGGTAAGTGGACTAAATTAGCAATTAAAAAGCAATATAATTTCTTTTTCAAATCTGAATTTTTTTTTTTTTTAATTTTTTTTACTTATTTTGAGAACACGAAATATCCCAAAGTAATTTCAAGGGGTTGGCTTAGTGGTAAAATTACCTGAGCTTGGGTGCTTAGTAGCACCAAGGACTGAGGTTCTATTCCCATTATGAACTTATAACAACTTGGGGCCAGGCCTCCTCTGCCATACTTAGCGACTTACCCGGGCCGGGGTGGGGAGGCCGTCCTTCCAGGATTTTTGAGACGAAATTATTATAGTTGATGTACTAAAGTTAAAAACCTAAAAATATAAAGCTTTTAATGCGAAATGATATCGTTACCCTCAATTCAATTCACAATAATTTAATTATTAAAGATATTTAAGTCATTTAGTTTGAAAGAAATGTTTTTATCATCTCATCATATATTGTTTTGATACTACTAGAAAATTACATACCATGAGGACGAAGTATAAGGGATAATTTATGAAAAGTTTACTCACTCTTATTATTAAGATGTTTTTTTTTAAAAAAAAAATAATAATAATCTTATTATTAAGATGGTAAGAAACCAAAGGAAACATAACACTTTTTGTATACAAATGGTTTGTTCAATTACATGGATGAAATAAGGGGAAAAAAAAAGAAGAAGTCATAGATTAAGTGAATATAGCTAGTATTCTTGGGGCCTCAACTATTATTTACATGTGCTATGTCATGTTGTTCAAACAGTGTTGAAAGATAAATTTTTCACAATTGGGGTTATCGATCTGCTATTCGCTTTGTGTTCGAAGGAATAAGAATGTTTGCTTGATGCGGAGAGAGAAGAATAATTTGTTAAGGAGTAATTTTATCCAAAAAAATTCACAACCACTTAAACAGATATCAGATAAAAACACCCCCTTAGAATTTTTTACCAAAACATTCACAAGAAGGATTTTTCGCAATTGAGTAATAATAAAGGGAGATTATAAAAATAGTTGCTCAAGTTTGTGAAAATTGAATTGAGTTTGATTGCCGAGCTAAGTTACATCCATTATTTTATTTTTAGCAATCCAAGGAATCAATAATGAGCAAGCAAGATTGGTTTAGGTATTTTAGAATGTTGTATTAAATGAATGATTCATTTGAATATTTACATATCTCCAAAAAAAAAAAAAAAAAAAAAAAAAAAAAAAAAAAAAAAATGAATAAATTGAGTGGTTACGAATAGAAACTCTTATCATGATATGTCTATCCAATAACATTACTCATATTAAGGGACGTAGAGTACTTGATTAAAAAAAAAAAAAAAAACAGGCTTATGGGATATCTAATAAAAAGATGGTGCAGTAGTTGTGTCAGTTAAATACTATACACGTTTGATTTTTTTAATAAACAATATTAAATCATGGTCAATATTGGGGGCAGACTGGTTTGATTTTGATCACATAAATTATCCCTAGTACTCCTATACAATTTTTTTTTTTTTAATTTTTAAATCATAGCAAAATTTTAAAATAATTCGTGATTACTAGAAAATGGTTTGTTGAAATATTATATATAGAATTAATCTTAGAGGACTATTTTTAACTTGTTGAAAGAAATCAGGTTTGATTAAAGAAAGAAAAAACAAATTTATTTGAAGAGAATAAAAAATAAAAGAAAATTGAAGCGGAAGAAGAAGAGTAAGAAGCAAAAGAAAAAAATAGAGAGATGTTTGTAAGAAGATAATTTAATGGGGAACATTATGTAATATTTTATAAATTATAAACATATATAATACACACACCATAAGCAAAAAATATTATTCACACCAAAGATAATTTTGTGTATATATATTTATCGATTCTGAGATCTATAGGTTCCAACTTCTTAATTTGCTTGTAGCTCTCCATCGACGAGTCTAAAACATAGGGTGACAAAAGGTGACAACAATGTCCCGACAGTGTTGGAGCATAATGGCTCTGATCTAATTCCGGCTCTGAGAGGCCACTTGGAGTAAAAAGCTAAAAGGATTACTAACATTTGGTAGGGAAAATAAGGTAAAAATTTGCTCTGTGGAGTATATATGTGTTCAGGTAATTTTAAGTAATTGTCAATTGTGATTCAAAAACCCTAAACTCAAAAAGGACGGCAAAAGAAAAAGACAGTTAACTCATGTAGGGACGGATCAAGGATTTCCAGTTAGGGGCACAGTGTAATATGACAAATATAAAATAAAGGAAAAAATAATAATAATAAAAAAACAACAACAACAACAATGGAAGTTTCACCAAGTGAGCACAATGCTTGATGTGGTTTAAAAGTGAGCAAATCAGTTTTAAAAGTGAACAATTTGTCCCCTTACATTTCACTTCTGCCCACTTTTCGTCGAATGTCATTGTGCATTTACCAAACTATCCCTTATAATAAATTTTTTTTAAAAATATATTGAAGGCAAAATATCTTAAATGCCCTCTAAAATAAACTAATATGTTGACCAAGTGTGTAACTTATCATTTGGGCTTCTGCATGTATTATGTAAACCTAAGCTTTCCCTGCTCTCTTTTTCACAACATGTCTTTCACTTTTTTCTCATCTATATATATATTTTTAATTATTATTATTTATCGTAACATTTCCTCATCTCTATTCTTGGTCGAGTTAAGTAGAGAGCAAAAAGAGCGTACCATTTGTGGGTTCTTGAATGTTGATCATATTAAAATGAGTGTGTCTTGATAATAACCAAACTAATTAGCAGGTAACAGAAAGACAAGTGAAAGTAGAAGAAACAAGTGAAAGAAATGTACAGTATATTATATTAAATATATTTTTATCCTAGTAGGTATTCACACACCCATATCCATGCCTCTATTAAAGTTCAAACCTCCGATCTTCTTTTGGGAAGTAGTGTTCTGATATTGCTGGGCACTTGCTCGTTAATATCATTATATTAGATTATACATACAACTTATCATAATATATATATAAATATATATATTATATTGATTATTGGTGGGTACTTTTGGTATTAATAAAAAATATCAATCATATGTATCACAATATGGACGGAGAGTGGTCGAAGGTGAAATGTAAGGAAGCAATTTGTTCACTTTTAAAATTATAGGGACTAATTTGCTCACTTTAAAACTACAGGGGGTATTGTGCTCAATTGGTGAAATCTCATGATTTTTTTGCACTTTTGGCTAAAACAAAGAAAATTATTAAAAAATGCATGCTAAAAAGAAGAATTTTAAGAAGTACAAAAATAGAAAAGAAAAGAAAAATGAGAAAACTTTGAAAGGAAAAAGTTAGAGTTTGATTGAGGAATGGAAATTTGACTTTTTCTTTTAAGAAAATTAAAGGATAATGAAGACTAAAAGAGAAAGAAAAAGTTAAAAGATAATTTTAGAAACTAAAATATTTAGGAGGGCACAGTATAAAAATTGCCATATATATATAAAAAAAAATCATAAAGATACCACATATTGTAGAGGGCGTCTAGTACGTGCCTCCCTAGCCTGCATTGGCTCGTCCTTGAACCCATGCATGAACTTGTCAATCTTTTTTACTATTGTTATATCATTTTTTGTTTAATTAAAAAAAAAAAAAACAAAAATAACTAAACATTGAACTAAGATTAATTGTAATAAGAAAATGTAGAGGTGTTTAATTCTAAAAGTAGGGCAAAATATTAATCCTTGCTGGTTAAAAAATAAAAAGAGAAATGTTTTGAGTCTAGACCTTGTATTGGAGACTAAATATTTATTAAAATTAAAAAAAAAAAACTCACACACTGTTTTTTTCCTTTCAATATTCTTGAGAAATAAGTAAGTAGCTGAACAGGAGCTCGTGGGTGGGGCTAATTTCGGTGGACAGCAATAGTGGATTGCGTATCTCTCTCACAAAGTCACACACTATCTCTCTCTATCAATCTTAAGCACTTCTTCTTCTAGTGCTCAGAGCTTACCTTAATCAATTGACTTTCCATTTGATTCTTTCTTTAATGATTCTCTGAACCGTCCTTTTGTTTCTACACACAGCTTTTTTAAATCATCATCCAAACTCCAAATTTACTACAACTACTATATATACTTATTTCATGGAAACAGAGAGAATCCAAACCAAACCCATCGCACCAAGCTACCTTATCACCTTCCTCCCCTTTCTTTCACTCTCTCTCTCTACACTCTAGAGAGAGAAACTGAATAATAGGATACAATTCAACCAAGATCAGAAAGACCATTTTGGGTGATTTGCTGTTTGTAAGGTGAAGACCCAATTATGGTGGGAATTTTCTCTAGATTTTCTGTCGGCAGAAATGGCCACCGTCGAACCCAAAGTGCACTTGTTAGCATCTCTCTTCCACTTCCATTGAAATTTTATTTTGTGTGATTTTTTCGTTGCTTGCTTTCTTTTCTGATCTAGGTACTAACACTTCATCTTTCTCTCTACTCCATATTAGCCTAAAAGATGAATTACTAAATTCATAGATTTTATTCTTTATGGTTGTTATTAGATTTGTACCCATCATATGCAATCAGATGCCTTTTTCTTTTTCTTTTTTTCTTTTCTGGGATTGGATTTTTAATTTAATATGGTAAGACTTGGTTTGACCTTTTAATAGGTCCTAGGTTTTGTGAAATTAAGTTTGATTTAGTCTTGGATATTAGAAAATTACTTAGGATCTCGCCCACTTACTTGTGATTGGATTTTTAGGTTAACTTGATTTTTAGCAATGTTGTACTTTCTTTTCCATGAATTTTATTATTTGTCTGTGTGACTATATCTAGACTTGGATCAATATGAGCAGTGTCAAAAACTTGGCTTTTACTTCAGAGAATTAAGCAGTTCTAGTTGCGGGTTCATTTCCTTGTATTTTGTTGTCAGCATTTTGTTGTCATTTTAGTGATCTGCTTATTGGATGAGTTGATGATTTTGTATGTTTGATTCTTGTCTGCATCATCTTAGATGCGTAGATATTTTTACTGCATTTTGAAGCTCCGAAAGTACAATTTCCCCCTTTTATGCTCCACATTGTTTGTATCAAAATATGTTGACCTATTTTAATGTTATATACTAATAATTGAGTATAGCCTAATTACTTTCCTGGTTCCATGATTTTCTATTCAGATTAGGGGACTAGTCTTTTGTGGTGTTTGTTTTGTTTAAGTGGCGACTGTTTTATTATGACATCTTCTATTTGCTTTCATATGTTTATGTTTATAGCTGGGTATTAGTTATTGACCTCTAATTACATTTATGTTTTGGGTTGCTTTATTTCGTGCAGGATGAGAGGGAGGTATTGCCCCCAAATGCTGAGGCTACTGGCGCTGCTACTGTAGCTGGTGTTGCATCGGCTGTTGCTCATGGGATTGAAGTGGCAGTTGAGTTTAAGCCGGTTGAGCACCCAACTGAGCCTCCTGACAATGATCGACCAATTCAATGCCCACTGCCTGAACCTTCAATTCTTAATGTAAGTTTTAAAATTTATTCTTCGTTTTGAGAATTGATATATACATGTTCGTGGGTGTTTGTGATATAGATATCCATATCATGGAAGTTTCACAAACATGTATATAAACCATGATGGATCTCTCTCTCGGGGCGGGGGGATTTGGGTGTTCATGGTTTCGTATTGCTGATTCTTGAAGGAGAAGTGTCTGTCTTGTTCGTTTTTACTGTCATGTATTTTTAGTCCTAGTCTTTTTCCTATATACATGAAGCTATGGGGTTCTGTTATGCTCTCGATGGTAGAAATTTTTGTTAGTAAAAGCCATTGTGGGAAGCTTATGGGTTGTATATCATAGTTTAGATGATTAAAGTGACCAATATTACACACTCAAGTTATTTGAATTAAATCCCCAAAGGAAGAAAAGCTTGACTATTATGTTTGTTTGCTTATGGGTATATATGTCATACCAAAACCACCTGTATTTAGGGTCAACTCATAAACCAACCCCCAACTGAGTTGTACTTTGAACCATTGAAATTTGGGTAAATTACTCTGACCTCCCCTGAGGTTTTTCTTTATTACTTATAGATTAAAATTTTGAAAAGTTTACTCCCACACCCCTATCAGAATTTAAGAACGGTTAAGATAGTTGACTTTTGTTGTACAATTACTGAAATACCCTTAATATCACTTCATGTTTATTATGTAAGCAACAAAATTTAATTTACCGGTCTGCCCCTGATAAATTACCCTTGGCAATCTCGCTACGCTACCACCCTCTTTCCATCGCAGGCCCCTCTCTCCACCACCACCACCACCACCACCGTGCTCCACATACTCCCTATCTTTCTCTCTCTCCCCTGCCACTTCTCTCCACCACCGCATCCTCTCTCCTCTACCACATCGCCCCTCCCACTCTCTGTATTTCTCCCGTCCCTTTTATTCAATCTCATTCACAGACAATTTACTGGTAAGAATTCTCAAATCCAGAAACTCAACTTCAATAATTGACTTCCCCTCTCTCTCTTTCTATATATATATATCTCAATTTCATCACTTATCAATGAATTTTCAGTTACTGGAATTCCATGAACTCCAACCCTAAAACTTTCAGGATGTTATCAATGAAGTTCTTTTTTGGGAAAGGTAAAAAGAAATAAAAAAAAAAAGAGATAAGGGGATCATTATCAATGAAGTTGTTTGATGGATTTGGAAGATCTCATGTTGAATGGTGTTCGTTGAACATATGCTTGTCCTTCACTCCTCCACTTGTTGAATGGTGTTCATATGCTCTTCCTTCTCTAATGCGCTCACACACTCATACATATATATTGTATTATTCTGAATTGTATATATATTGTATCAAATATATTTTTAATACATATTAAATATAAATATTTATGGAATGAATTATAGAGAAATATGTATCTTATATATATATATATATATATATATATATATATGTATATATTAGTATATAGTAAATATATATTTTTTAATGAAATAAATTTCTATATAATATATTACTCTGTATGTTTAGTTCCCCATTTATAACCAATCTAGCTTAAACTTTTGCAATCAGTAAACTTTATAAATTAAGTATGGTAGGTTGGAATTGTTTGGTTCAATTAGTAATGAATTGAAAGGTAATTTGATTTGATTGGTGGGTTTAATATGGAAATGTGTTGCATATAAGGTTAGTTTGCGTATTTATAATTTATATTTGACTTGACTTTTAGTAATCCTGATTGTAGGGGTGGTGAGGGTTAATTCAACCAAACCTCAGGGAGTTTGACCATAATATTTTATCAACTTTAATCTGTAGGTAATAAATGAAAACCTCAGGGGAGGTCAGGGTAATTTACCCTTGAAATTTTTATAAAAAATAAGAAAACATATTTCCAAGATGAAAAAAAATGATAATATCATGCATTTGGTATAAGGAGAATTTTGGTCAAGAAAATACTTGTTCGTCCCATAAGGTTATAAAATTTTCAGGTAGGAAAGAAGGAGAATTCTGATGCTCTCTGCTTGTCTGCTGTAATATATCGAAGGTAATACTTGAGAATATAATTTGGATCATATTTTCAAGAAACATAGTGATGCTGAATCACCAAATGTGATGGAATGGGGAATAAGGAAGTTAAAAAGATAAACTATACATAAATGAATGGCATAACAAAGAATTCCATAGTTTTTGGGGAAATGCTGACAATGTTGAAACAAGAAAGGGAAATATCTTGTGAAAAACTGTAGTATGATACTATCATGGAGTTCTAAACTTAAAAGTTCATGTGAAGACATCGAGACAGGTCATTACAGGAGACTTATAGTTGTCCATTTTAATTGTTGATTTTGAATGCATCATAGAACACCATTGTAGCTAATGCTGTATTTGTATGTAGAACATTCGATGAAACATTTTGGATAAATGAGGTGTATCTTATTCAGTGTTCACCATTGGTCACTTTTTATGTGTATGTGGAATCAATAAATGTGCTCAGTGAAAAGAGAGCGATGAAACCTCCAACCATCTTTCCTTTTATTGTTTAATCTCCCATGAACTTTGCCACTGACTGTTTGCTTTAATAGGTATTAGCTAGGTGGCTTCTCAGAGTTCTGATCATTTCTGAGATGTCTTTTAGAGCCTTTGGCTGGGAAGAGATATTAAAACCTTATGATACCATTAACTTGGGTGTTGTGGAACGAGTGGTTTCTAAAATTTGGTGTGCAAGGGTTCTTGCTTGAGGATAGAAGAGTCCTGCTTTTATCTTCTATTTTGGCATCAGTTACAAATAATTGAAAAAGTGTTTCTCCGTGATTTGGGGAATTTGAGAGTTGTGAGTTCTCCTTGACTGTGCATCAAGAGATGGTCAAAGTGCTTAGAGTTGCCACTAAAAGGAAAAGTATGAACTTAAGTTTGGCAGGTGTTCTCTTCGGAATCGAGCAGTAAAGAATTTGTAGGTTTCCCAAAGATGATGGTGGAATTATAATTTTATTTTACTTTGGAACAGTTGGTACTTGTTTTAGTTGTGAGGCAGATATTAGTGCACACTTAGAAGGGCCTAAGGGAATTTCTTTAATGAATTCAAATAATTGTCTAGCCACAGTTACCTTATGAGCGAGGTTTTGTATTTATATGATCTTTTTAGCGGTTTATATTTGTTGGATCCCTAGGCAGGTGAGAGAGCAGATCTGCTAGCCAAATGAGGGGCTTTCTGTCTTCTCCTTGTAGGGATCACTTTCCCCTCTCTGAGAATTTGTCAGGAGGGAGGTTGTTTTTATGGGGAGGAGATTGTTATATTCTTTTTACTTGTTCTTTTAACTTTTCTTCTTTATGCTATATATCATTCTTGGGATATTCTTTATTCTGTGATCTTTGAAGGATTCCCATCCTTTTTATATGTATAATTCTCTTTCTTTTACTAATGTTTTGTTTTTGGTTTCACATCAAAATTAAAAAGGAATTTGTTTTTCCCAATGATGATGTGGTTGAAGGAAGTCAGGCAAATTCATTGGTTAACTTCCAAGCTGATAGCATATAATTTAACAGCGCTAATTTCAGTCTAGGAAGGTCTTGTGCATTTCATGCCAATTAGCTTAGTGATGTTCTAGATCAATTTGTAACCATCAGCTATTTCTTACATCCTTTGTCTTTTACACCGTATGTGATGTCTATAAGAGTGATGTAGGACAAGGGAGCAGCCTTAAATAGTTAAGAACTTGAAGAATTCAGAGGTTGAAAGTTCAAAGAACTAGGGCTGAAATTTGGAGGTTTGATAGTAGAAATGTAGAAAAACAAGGGGAATAGAATAAGAGCTGTGATAAAGGATTTTAAAAAAAGAAAAAGCCTATTGGCATCTCACCAACAGAAAACAAAAACCTATTGGAATCACTCCAACAGGGCGTAGGCATCACACCTAGAGAGGCCTCACACCCTCAGAATTTGTGAATCACTCACAAAGAAATCTCAAAGCATATTTTTAGTCATTCATTGACTGCCTCACCAAGTTTACATCATACCCTTCTTATGGCAACTTATGATCTTGAGATCTTGAGATTAACCCATAATTGAGGTAATCAAAAGTAGACTCTATAGCATAATAAAAATAATCACCCCGTAATTGAGGTAATCAATAGTTGACTCTAGGATTACCCCATAATTGAGGTAATCAATATTTGATTCTAGCATAATAAAAGTAATTACTACTGACTGATGCAATTCGATCGTAATTGATGCAAGCTACCATAATTATGCAATTTGACCAAATCCCCCCAATTATGCAAGACTCCAAGTGGACCCCCCATCATCTAGCATGTGCCGAACTAAGGCTTGAGCCTTATAACATTCCCTTTTGCGCCTTTTGTGTATCCTTAAATATGCCTGCCATTGATCTCTATCAAAGAGGGTGCTAAATTGATATTTTAAATGCTCCCAGACAAGGCTTGGAAGTGCTTTCTTTTGATAACATTGGTTGCTTAGCTACTTATAATTGCATATACTAAAATTTCAATTGTTGTCTCCAAAAGTGCTTGGATTGAAGAACAAACTAAGTTTACGTAATTTGGACGTTGCATCTATTAGTGGCTCTTTTCTCGACTATCATTGATGGTTGGTCAAACATGTGGGCATCTTTGTTCCCACTTCCCAGTTATTTATGTTGCATATATTCAGGTTAGGACTTATCCAACCCCTGTAAAACAGATGTTAAATTCTTTTAATGAGTTTCAGATTTTCCTAGAAGGAGTGTTCTGCCCTACTAAATTAGTAATAATATGCAAAATGTAATTATAAGGGGCATATTACGGAGGATGTAATTCTCACAAAGGCTAAAATTATGAAAGTTCAAAGATACACTGTACTGAAAGGTGCTTAATTACTGCAAAGAGAAGAGTACTGTAAATTTCTGTTTCATTGAGGTTACAAGTACATGGGAGTAGCTGATAGGACTTGCATATGACCTTGACTTTAACTTACTACATCATTTTAATTGTTAATTATGCTTCATGAGTCTTTTTGAAACTCTAGGCACATTTAGACTGTGGCAAGAAAAGTCAACATGTTTTTTTTTTTAATTTCATTTTTACAAGAAGTTCAATATTACTGCTGCTGGTTGTCTCATGGAAAGAGCTATTCCAGCGTTTGTTATTACGTAAATTGAAAAATGAAACGACTTGGTAATCATAATAATATAGGAGATATAAAAATGAGTCCCAATAAAACTGTCAAAAGTAATATAAGATAATCTATTTATTCACCAAAACAAGATAATGAACTTGGAATTGAATGGGAAAAGGGGTCTGTTTGATCAGTTTTCTGAAAACAGTTCAGAATAACTTGGAAAACATAGCTCTGTTTTAAGAGAAATATAAAAGACAGATTTTTGGAATTATGCCTTTTCAAAAAATATTATTCTGATTACTGACAATCAAACAAGTTTCTATCTAGTTTTACGAACTTTAGTTTTCTGAAAACAGAAAATTGAACCAAACAGGCCCTATAACTTCTATATTGGCACTATCAATTTATAATTTACTGGGAGAGAGGCTCCACACATTGTCCTGGGGGTGGTGAGGGAGGGGGTGCTGTTTATCTTGGGCATTGCCTCAATAATAAATTTGAAATATCTAAACTCCCTAGAGTTCCCTGGATGTTTCCTTAATCGCTTTACCTAGTCCTAGAATCAGTTTTATCATGGAATTTCACTTCAGGAGGAAGATTATTGAGTAGCTATGCTGTTGGCTATGTTTACTAAAAAGCTTTTGGTTGTGTTGTACATGCTTAGAAAGAGAAGGCTAATACTTAACAAAGATTTAATTCCCAATTCTTGTTGTTGGCTTTGAAGGGAACCCAAGGGAACCCCCAGTTTCTTTTTTCTTCCCCCCAGTTTCTTTAGTGCATGTATGTGTTGCTGTGGTTAACGAATTTTTTGTATGAAGGTTTTAATTCAGACAATGTACATTAAGGATGTTTAATTTATCACTATCAACCTGTAAAATGCATTGCCAAGATGAAGCAAGTATTATTATATAATGTTCCTTGCTGATAGCAGTATTTTAATATCGGTAGAATCAATTTATAGTTTTCTTGTAGAATGAAGCCTTCATTTGGGAGGCGTAATTGGAACAATTCCAATTTATAATAAGTTTCTGGTTCTTTGTGAAGACTATTGGCATGATGAAAACCTCCGCCGCATTTTCTTGACTTGGATTTCAATTATACAGTCATAGAACATCCTTAAAATATTTAAGGAATCAATACTAGCCTTAGAGTTTCTAGTCTTGAAATTCTTGTGCGGCTCTAGCCTCTAGGTCTCCCAATTGGAAGGCCAATAGAAGAGGAAAGGGGAAGAGGATTTTTAAGAAAACAAATAGAGGAACTGAATTCAAAGGGGGAAAAGAAAGAAACAAAGATAATGGAAACAGAGAAAAATTTCCTAGAAGAGTTCAATTTTTTGTTGCACTTGCAAAGCGAATCTTTACCATTATCATATATTTGAAAGGAAGATATTATGTACTCAACGGATACTAATGGGGTTAAAGATCTTCAAATTTGATGGCTGAGATCAGTTTGACCAAAGTTTTTGTGTGTAAATTGTTGGGGGTAGCCTTCCCTTTGCTCATAATGGACCCTACTCTAAACACCCTCCAACCCATTCACACACAGCAAATCTGTGATGGTGGGTTTTATCACAAGTCTTTTGGCATTGCTTTCCATCGGCACACAGTGGAAACTCTGATTGTGGGTTCCATCCTAAGTCTTTTGGCATTGCTTCAATAAAACATCACCAGTTAGGTGGTCAGCTGGCCGCCTGACACATGCTTGTGTGTGTGTGTGTGTGTGTGTGAGAGAGAGAGAGAGAGAGAGAACTAAGAGTTCTTTTCTTCCAGCTGTTTTCCCTTGTCATTCTTTCCCTAATTCATTTTCGCAGAACTGCTGTCTGATGAAAATCCTAATATTTATTTACCTTTATCAGGATGGAAGAATATGGAAGGAGAGAGTATCTGCAGGAGTGCGAAGGAGGTCTGACTTGCCGGTAATGCAGGAAGGGACTGACATAGAATCTGAGAGTGCTGGAACAAAGTCACGGACCCCATCTAATCGCATGATTCTACCATCAATCAGTGCCCCCGAACATAATATCCTTAAACTGCTTGAAGAATCTGGGATATAATTTGCGTTTTACTTGTTCGTTACTGGAAGTTCTCGTTATACTCTGTATAAAATTTGACATGCTTTTATTTTCTTCCGAGTCTTTTTTCCTTGTCCATCGTAATCAATTTCTTGAAAGTATGTATTTGCAAATGAATCCTTGTGAAGTCACACTATATGCATGTATATTTAAACAGTAAGATTGAAAGTTTCAGTTTGAGTAAGCTGATTGTTATCAGTTCAAATTTGCTTCAAGTGACATGATATTCATATCTCTGAGTCCTCTAAGCTTTACTGGATCCTTTGGCATTGTCGCTTCATTTCATTTTTGTCAAGGTTGCTAGTACATTTTTATTGCTTTGCAGAAATACGATCATCATAACCAAATTCAGTGGATCAACGTGCATTGGCATATACTGTTGAAAAGAAATAAATATAAGTGGCATGACATTAGTTCACAATGGCTAATTTTTTTTGTTTTCTTGACCATATTACAATTTTCAATCATTGCACAAACTCAAGTTTTATGTGTTTGTTCATCTGTTCTTCTTCATTTGGTAGTCTTGTTTATCACATATTAAAAATAAATAAATAAGAAAAAAAAGAAGAGAGGCTCTGATAATCTAAAAGCATGTGTTGGTCACTTGAATTTGAGACTATTTGAGTGGCCTTTTCTTGAAATGGTATGATACATGATTTTAACATCATTTTTGAAGTGACTGGCATCAAATTTATGTTAAAGTCAATTACAGAAAATTATATATGGAACAATATCATCACTGCCTAATGTAAAGGTAACTTGACAAGTACTTGAACAAGCCCTAAATTAAACAGGCAACTCCTGGACTTGAAACGGATGCTCCACAGTCGGATTGACGAGATATTTCCGAGGCCCGCGAAAGCTTCCATGATTCATCCATGGCTTCCTCTGCCACGTCCAGCGCGATGGTTGAACGTGCTTTCCTTCACGGCCAACATGAACACCATCTGCAGCTGCATGAGTTGATATCCAGAAGGTGAAAATGAAGAGCAAAATAGCAAGTGAAGTGAACAAGGAAGCCTTCAACTGCACCATTGTGCTCTTTAGTTTTCTCGCCCTTTGTGAGAGTGTGTGCTGGGTTAATATATAGACTTTAGGGTTACTTTACCTTGCCTAAAAGTCACATGCCAAATCATTTAGCCTCTGATTAATTCCTAGACCTGTGATGGTTTTGGTGGTTGGTTTTGTTGGTGGGGTGGGTTAGTGTTTGTAGTTATGATTCTGTTGTAGAAATAAGTAAGTCACTGAAAGAATATATATGCACACACACATATATAATAAAAAAAGGTAGTTAAGCATTCAATAATGTGGTCTACTTTTTAGGTTGCATAGTTAAGATGGCCAAAATTTAATATCACTCTCACTAGCCTATGTTTATTGTAATTCCACTACCTACCAAGTATCAAGACAAGCTACATACAATCATCATGTAAGGAGGTGTTTGGCAGCCCAGAGGTTTTTATTTGAAAAAAAGAAAAAAGAAAAAAGAAAAAATCAGTTATAGACTTCTAGTTTAATTTTCCATGTATATTTTAAAAATTATTTTGATTTTATTTTGTTTGGATGGCAAAATACATGAATGCTATAGTTGGATATTGGAAAAAATTATAGCATTCGTGTATTTTGATAACAAGAAGCACTAACCCACCCCACCAACAAAATCAACCACCAAAACCATCATAGGTCTAGGAACTAATCAGAGGCTAAGTGATTTGGCATGTGATGAAATTTTAAATTTATAAAGTGTCGATTTGATAATCACAAATGCAACAGAATCAAACATCTGCTTTTATTATGCAATGTTGCCAAATACTAAAGTGAAATGGTAAAATTTCTACCTAGGGTTGCTGTGTCTTTTGAAAGGTGAGAGTTGGACCTCATTTTTGTTAAGAAAAGAAGTGAGTTTTCAGGCTTCTCTCTCTTTTTTATTTTTTTTATTGGTAAATAACCAAGGAACTCATAATGTGGTTATTTGACTCATTTGGTGCATTAAAGTGGAAATTAGTGGAGGTTGAATCTGTACTCAATATGTCCCTTCTATTCCCTTGGTTGTGCTTGATTTGACATTGTGGAGGTATGGTTTTGGCTAGTATTTAATTGGCATTACATTGTTCTTTGTATGTTTGGTGTAGTAACACATTTTATTTTCAATGGGCAGTTGTATGTTTCTCTTCCTACTTTGTATCTTCCTTTGATGGACACTTTTCCATTCTAAATATACCTTATATTATGCACAAGGATAAAGGAGTCAAATTTGATTAAAATCAAGAATTGGTTTAACTTTATCATTCTTGTTTGGTTGATGGAAAATATAGGAGAAAGGAGAAAAAAAAACTAAAACTCATAAAGCTAATTTTAAACAATTCTGCGAGGTTAGCTCAGCAGAATTCGATCTTGATGCCTCATAAAATATCATGTCTCATTTTCGTGGGATATTTACATGAGTTAAATTGTGGTCATGCCGGGTTCTGAACTTGTCGGGTCATGTGGCTTGTGAAGTGTTGAGTCATGAGTATGCCAATCTAACTCTAAGGTGTGGGGGTACCTCCTTTTTTTTTTTAAAAAAAAAAAAACAAAAACTAATTTTAAACAACCTCCTCAAGTATTGGCCTTGATTTTAGATATCTCGCATAGAGTCATTACATTTCATAATAATCCCCCATTCAATGAAATGTATCATACACCTCTAGATCTAGGGGTGGGCTCAAGCCCATAAAATATATATATATACCTAATTTTAGCCTACCCAAAAAAAAAAAAAAATTTTTATTACTACAGTTAGCCCACTCAAAGAAATATTAGCTCACCCCATTGACAATTCCTGAATTCGTCCTTAGTATCATATTCAAATAAAAAGTTTTTCTCAACTAACTTGAATAATGCATTCTGATTAGATGGACATACCAATACATGTGATATGCTGAGTTCACCCATCTTTTGGAGTGAGCAAAATTTTTTTTAACTAACTTGAATAGAGCATTCTGATTGGATGGGCATACCAATACATCTGATATGCCAAGTTCACCTATTATATTCTGGAGTCAATGGACCCAGTTGAGCTTGGACAGCTAGTAGGCTTGGATTATCCTTATGGCCCCACTTAAGTTGTTGGCCTACCCTTGCTGGGCTTGTGATCAAATTAATTTACCCTAACACCCACTTACAACCTTGGTAAAAAACACCCACTTACAACTCGGTAACATTATTTATTTGGTAAAAAAATGTGTATGTACATAAAATCATAATTATTTGATAATTAACGGGATTAGTTAAGAAGTATGAAGATTGACACGATACGTTAACACGACATAATACAGATAAATCAACGTATTAATTTTTTTATAAGAAAAATAGATTGAATACTTTGATATATACGTTTGTAATATTGTTTTCAATATCGTCATATTTTGTTTTATATAAAATGAATGGTGTCAAATGTGATGGTCGAATATAATATGTTAGTCAAGCGTTTGAAATGTGTGAATTAAGTGTTCAATATATGTACCAAAGGTGGTATAGCCTAACGATATTACGGTTATTACCTCTATTTCTCAAATAAATTTTGAGAGTTTAAATCATTAAAGAAACAAATAAGTGCGTGACTTTCTTGCTAATAAAAGAAAAAATATTCAAGATATTACAGATGTGTAATAAAATTAATTTTGAATTATAAACACTAATAAATTTCCGGACGTGTATCTAAAAATATCCTTAAAATATTGGTGTTCAATACTATGTTCGAAAAAAACACAAAAGACGAAGATTTCTTAAAAATGTCCTTGCTTCTCAGGGGTTAGCACTTCGCAATCCCCCTTTTCCTCCCCATTATTGTAACTACAATTTTTTCATCTGTACACCCAATGCAAGTTCTCCTTTAATTTTCGGCTCTTCCAAATACCTTAAATACAAACACACCTGAATAAGTAATTACACCCAATAAAAAAAAATATAATATTTTATTTTTTTCCTTCTTTTATTACAAATTAAAATAAAAATTAAGTAAAATATATTAAAATTGTAGATAATAGCATTTAATGTCTTGAAAAATATGAAAATCTACAAGAAAATATATTTCTTTTTGTTTGCTTTTTGAGAAAGCTTTTGAAAATAATCAATCAGTTACTGTTACAAAATTTTCATTCTCCTTCTCTCCAGACTCCTTTAGGCCAAAAAAAACAAAAAATCTCTTTTCAAAATTCATTTCCTATTTTCGATGCTTTCAAACACTTCTCCTTATTTCTAACCAAACTAAACCAATAAATTGATTTTTTTTTTTTTTTAAAAAAAATCCACTTTCTAAACGCAACATAAAACGTAAAATAGTGGGGGAAGGCAAGTGGATTCGTATCAGAATTGTTTCTCCTTGAAGCTTCAAAACCTCAAGGCTCGAACACAAAAAAGGAAAAAAAAAAAATATATATACATGAATATACAGTATATATATGTATATACTACCATTGTCACAGTGTGATACAGAGTTCAGTTTGTGCGATGGGTGACGAGGGTTTCGAAGAATGGGACGCAGATTTCTTGGACCAACTCATCCAAGTCGAAGAACTAGCCTTGTGCTCCACAAACCCTACTCAACACCACCATCCACCGCCACCGCATTCGGCGGCGCCGTACGTCGACATCAGCTATTCGCCTCCTCGAGAGTTGTCTCAGAGAGTTCAAGACAGTACCAAAGTGTTCGACCGGTCTTTAAGTGGAGTAATCGACGATCGCTCTCAAAATGTGAAAGAAGCGGAAATTGATAGACTGAAGGTGATTGCTTTTTCTTTGATTGAACACCTGTGTGTATATATGTATATGTATATATAGATATAGATATAGGTGTGTGCTGAAAATTTAGTGAACTCTAATCAAAACGTGAACTATAATTGCAGAGAGAGCTGGGGCGCGTCTCAAAACAGCTTACTCATCTGGTATGTTTATCCCTTACACAAACACATTCTTTCTTTATACATTGTTGCTATGAATCTGCTTTGGGTATGTTTGGGCTTGATAAGTGAACAATACTTGGTCTATTAATCAGAAAAACTAGTTTCTAGTGTATTTTGGAAGACAAATGCAATTATAGTTAAATGCAATTATAGTTACCAATTAAAATTAGTTTCTTTCTAAAAAAGGTTTTCAGTAGGAGGTGCATCACTATTGTGTTTCTCTCCTTTATATTAAGAGGGTTTGAGGTTAATGGAAATGAACCCAAGTGTATGCTATGCAGTGGTGACTTTGTGAAGATAAAAGGATTAAGGCAACTCAGTTGATATGAAATTGCAGCATCCTGTGTCAGTTGTAAGTTAGTCTACTGTGGATGATACGAAATTGCAGCATCCCGTCTCAGATATCAGGGTTTTTTTTTTTTTTTTTTTTTTTTTTTTTTTTTTTTTTCAGATTAAAAAAAAGGCTATTATGATGCTGCATACGAGCTTCCTCCCTCAAGAGGCCATGTAGGATGGCATCCTTGACTTGCATTTATAAAGTAAAATAATGAAGTGGAGCACCTTTGGAGCTTATGACCTTGATAGTACTTGACAAGATGATAGAATTGAAAATCTAAGATTTTCTTTGATGCCAACCCTCCTCCCTCCCAACAAAACAAAAATAAAAAAAGGTAAGATCCACAATAAAGCAGGCCCTTGCCTTACAAATAGGGTGCAAACCCGTGTAAATGTATCCAAGATTGTTGAAAACCTATCCCTAGTGTTCCAGCCAAAATTGTTTTCAGTGTTTAACTGATTTATCTTAATGTACTTTATTGAGCCGCTATTTTATCTGGTACTTAGAAGTCTTTACGGTGGTCTAAACCTTAGTTGAACCTTTCCCTTAACAAATGAAGCAATTCTAGAATGTGGATAATGTCATTTTTGGTCAGTTTTCCAGCCGTTGAGTGCTTGAATCTTCTTAAAACTCATAGAATTTTGCATTTAATTGGAATAATTCATACTTTCTGGAGTGCCATAATAGCTGATCTTATTGATGATCTGGGCATTGCCATACATTATAATACTATCTACAGCCTTTTTGAGACATCTCCAACTATATTTGGGGCTGTTTGTGAGAGACAAGCTTGAAATCTCCTGTCGTCAAGTTTGATGATTTTTATGTGGTTTTCATTTTTTTGTTAGTTGAGAGACAGTAGGCACCCACATCCACAAAGTAAAATTTGCTTTTCTAAGATCAGACTTAAGGAAAAGAAGAAAGTAGGATTTCAGTATGGCTATTAAGTGGGATCATGGAAGAAACTTTTTTTTATTGTAATTTTGGAAGCATGGAAGAAGCTTTTTTTGTTTGTTTGTTTTTATTATTTTAAATCTTGTATTTTGGGTCTGTATTTGAAGGAAATAGACAAGAGATGAACATCTTTTGCTTAAGACTCTATGAAACCATTTTTTTGGCAAAGAGAAGTTTTATCTCAGCAGGAGGGTTGATGGGTGAGTGGGTGACCTTGTTGGAGGCTATGAGCCTGATTGTGACCTTTTCAAGTGTAAGATATAGAAAGTGTTTTTTTTCTGGCAAGGGTGTCTTTTCTGTTGTCTAACCTTAATGTCTGGATTTAGGAAAAAAAGGATCCATGGGGCTCATAAACAGAATGCTAGAAGTATAACTGCTAAGTTGGAAGTCATTGTTTTCAATCTCATGACGTTGAAAGTGGATAACAGAAGAAATTTTAACTTCTGAAAGGTTTGTGGAAAGAGATGGAGATTTGTAAATGGTCTTTCCAATACTTACGTCTTATATGCAGTATTTTAGAGTTATGGTATATAATCTGGTAGAATTTGAGGACTTATGAGGGTGCTCTTATTTTTGTTATGTTTAGAGAATGTGCATGGCTTTTATGCCTCTCCTTAAAGAGGTAAGGTAGAAATGGAAGTAACATATTAGATGGTCATCTGAGGCCCGCAAAGCATATGAAGTTTCTTCTGTGGGACTGCATTCAGTGTGCAAAAACAGAAGTAGGTATTTGTATTGAGGTGGTAAATATTAGATTGATATATGGAGTCATAGAAGAAGTGCCAGTTGAGATTTTTGTTCCTTCATTACATATTAGGTCCGAACGGGCTGAACTAATCTCTTTCCAGAGGAGCAGGTAAATTAAGTGAAGAGTGGGTGAGGAGTAGAATAAATGATATCAGTAGTGTACTTATCGCTGATGTTAGGTGCACTTTCTCCGGTTTTATACTAGAAGGATGTGGGTCAGAAATTTGCAGAGTTTATGGGGAACATTTTGCGGTAGAGCAGTTTGACAAGGGAAGTGATCTTGTTTTTATATCATTAATTTTTTGATGATTTCATAATGATAATACTTCATATTTATTCATGAAATTTCCCTTTTGAACGCCTTTTTATTTCATTATTACTAATAAAAAAAAAAAAAAATTTATTCATGCAATTTGGTAGGAGCTTGTACATGGTCATTGCTATGGAGTATGCTGTATTGTATTTGGCTTGAGGGCTGCATCACGTTTTTTATGTCTAATTTCGTATCTGTTTCCAGATGTAGGTCTGTTGTCATTTTCTTAAACAAGTGTGTTTCTACTGAATCATTATGGGAGTACGATCGGGCATCTAGTAATCTTATTCTAACAATTTTCCTGATACCCACACGATTAGTAACAGTTCCTTTATTCTATGGTAGTAGAATACCAAAATGCATACCTTTATTCTATGTTAGTAGAATTCCAAAATGCATATTTAGTTAAATCCTCTTGAAATTCATATATGATGAAAGGATTTGTAGGTAATGGGTTACATTATACTTCCAGGAGCAGGAATGCTTAGAGCTTAGAAAGGAAAGAGACGAGAAAGAGGAGCAGGTTAAGTCTGTATTTTCACATGTTGAAGCAAAAGATGCTGAGGGTCATTGTTCAAAGATTAAAAACCTGTACGTTGAACATATCTTTCACTTTTATACAGTATCCACTAGCTGGCTGCTTAGTTGATTTTCAGTCTCGTGTTCCTCCTTAATCATTGATTCATTCAAGTCACTTTGGAGTTGAACAAAAGATACTTTAGTCTTAATAATAGTTTGAAATGGACTTACAGTATCATATTAGATTGATTCATTAAAGTTAATATGGCCATAGTGAAGTTTATATCATTTTTCCCTTTTTCTTTTCAGAGGCCCTTGCATTGCCTGTCTATTTGTTGAGCTCTTTTTTTTTGTTTTTTTTTTTTTTTGTTTTTGGGTCAATAAACATTAAGTTTATTAATCTGACTGGTGGCTTCGTCTTTCTGTTTATCTTTTAGTATCTGAAAAATGGATCATTACATCTGCTGCGTCATTTGAGGATGAAAATTTAAACTGTGACTTGTGAAAAGAAAAAAAACTGTGCACATTCTAAATCAAGTCTGGCGAGGGATACTGTTACTTGTTTTTCAAGCACACACATATATAAATGGTCTCTATGTATATATGCATGCATGAATGATGGCCATGGTTGTACACCTACAATGCACTCGCTCTAGAGAGATTCAGCAAATTGAACTCCATCTTTGGTCTTATATTTCATAATTGGAGAGGCTTTCAGGTTTTAGCTTGGTTTTGTATAGAGCTAGCTCTTGAAATGGAGCGGGTTTGACCCGAGATTTGATCTGTTCTGAAGTCCATTTTAACGGATTTGGATTTGGATTTTAAATCTGTATTAAAAAGTGTCGATATGGATTTTCGTTAAATGGATTGGGCTTTGGATCAAATATATTTTACTATATTTGGATCTTGTTTAAGTCATATGGGTCATATATATATCCTGACACTAAAATATGGATCTGTGCCTGGTATCGTATGAATCCACTCATTTCAAGCCCTATATAAACCTAGCAGGGAGGCTGATTAACAGAATCAGTGATTTATTTTAGGCCTCATGAGCCTTCAGAAGTGTTTCTTTGTTTTTTATTGTTTGAATACATATATATATATATATATATATATATATTTATGTTCAGCAATTTTGATTTTTGGGCTAAGTTGCAACCTTGAATATCTAATTGCTGCAGGTTCCATCCACAACTGTTTTGTTATTTGCAAATCTCTTAGACCCTTGTAATGAGACTTTGATCATGTTTCGTTGGGTATTCACTTTGTCTTGGTAATTGCCACTACCCTTTTAAGATTTGGCAGAATGAGGTCCCCAAAAAGCATGGGCAGTAAAATGTTGTCTTCTTTGGGGATTTTCCTTTTCTGCAGTAGTGTCATTGGTTTTACAAAGAGAAATGTAGTGAACTTTTGAGGAGAGCATAATTTCGTTGAAGAATCACCATAGTTGGTCTTGCATCCCTATTTAAGGGGCATCTATTGGTAAATTAATCATCTATTTTTGCTTTTGTGCTCCTTGAACCATTTTTTGCACTCATAGATAATAACCTACACTTAGATCTTGAATAATGTTTCTTTCTTTGGAAAAACAGTTGTATTGAGTTATTCAATATTGTCTCTTATGTCGTCTTAGTATAAGGGGGTTTTTGTAGCATAAGCTCATTAGCTCCAATGAAGCTATAGTTATCCATCCTCATATCCTTTACAAGTTTTTATGAACCTGAGACCTCATAATGGTGTTGGATTCTGCCACATGCTCTTTCCCATGCGACATGAGCTCTACTAAGTTGGTGAATGGTGATTGATTATCATGGACTTTTGCATTATGTTCATCTTACATGAGATAACTCATGTATGATAGGTCAAACCCAGAATGGTGGGAACTGGGGTGGCTTTCTGGCAGTCTTAAGGCAGAGCAACACGTTTTGTTCTTATTTTTCATGCTATGTATTCTTGTCAAAGCGTACCAAACGCATGTATTGCTTTGCACTGCGGAAAGATTGTGCATGACACTGGCTATAGTGGCAGGGAATATGGAGTTCATACCCGAGACCGTTCTTGGATATCTATTGGATCCCAAATTGCGAATTCTTCAAATGATCAGGTTGACGGTCGAATTAATATAGGTGAGCATTGACTTGGCATTATGCTAAAAAATTAAATAGTTGACTTTTCAGTTGACCCATTATTATATACTTCACTAGTTTCTGATATCTTGTTTATTTGCTTTTGTTGTATGTTAGGCGCATCAACTTATAAAGCGATAGGAGTCCAGACAGACAAATCTGGTGAAAGTACCCATCCAAGCATTGAAAATGATCGGTCTACTCATCAATGTCCAAGCAAGTTGCTAGCTGTTTGGGACTCACAAAGTGACCAAAAATGGGGAAGGAACATTGTTTCCAAGTTGTTTGTGGCTTGTGAAAAAGATTTTCATGTCCTTTTTGGATTCTTGAGCTTAAGTTTGTCATCCAAAACTGCAATGGACTCTCTGGCAGATGAAATCTCCTCTGATGTGGCTGTGCAGGAGCATATGCAGCCTGTTCATTCTGTTGAAGCTGCAAAAATATCTCGTCTCTACTCTACGCTGACAAAGGTATCGATTTAAGTGATGCCATTACATTTATATTTTTAACAAAAGATGTGGCTTCAGATGGTATGCTGCTATATATAGTAAATTAATCACGTTAATGGAGTCAGGAAATTTGAAACTTCTGCTACAATTGTATATCATTACAATATCAGTCACTCAGCTTGAATCATTTTATGTTATCACCTTTTTCATGATTTCACCTAGGTGATAGTGTATTTGTTTCGGTTCGCATTTATATAATGTTGTATGTGCATATTTCACACACAGGGCAATTCTTTTGCCTTTTGATTATCTTATTTTTAGTTAACGATGTATATGAGTTGCATTTGAAGGAAAGAAAAGGTAAAGTTGTAGTATTCACAAAGTAAAAATATATATAAAAAAAAGTATGAGAAACCAAGAAGTTAAAGTTTTTCTTTTTCAAACATCTTTGTTAATCCTTCTACCAAGACGCACAATGTAAATTTCTCTACAATTATTGCAATTTCATGGGCATTTGCAATGCTTCTAGCCTTCTACCAATTATTTTAGAAAATTGCAATGAATAAAAAGTTGTTAACTTCCCCCCTCTCTGTCCGTCTGTCTGTCTCTGTACAACGAGAGACTTCCCTTGTGAAGACCGTGTTGTTTTGTGACATACTGTAAGCATTTACGTGGAAGCTGATGTGACCTAAGCTTAAATGCCTAAATTGATGTGACCTATTAGAATGTGGAACTTGAAATCAGAGAAAAGGGATTTAAAGGGGCATATAGAAGTGGGGAGAAGATAAAAGTGGGAGGATAAAAAGGTTATCACTTTCTCAATCTTAAAAGGAGATGAATTGAAGTAAAGAGAGGAGAAAATATAGGAGCGGAAAGACTGAAAATCTAGAGGAGAGGAATACAGGGATTGATAGAAAGGAGAGGGGAAATAGTGGAGAGTGTCACAAAGTAGTTTTCCAGGCCTCAAATCATAAAAGGAGATAATTTGAAATAAGGAGAGAAAAAATTAATCAAACTATAAGACTGATAGGAAAGAGAAGGTGAGAGCGATCTCTTCTGTATAATCTTTCCCTTAATTAATCATAGCGTGTAAGCTTATTTTCTCACGGTGTTCTTGTAATAGGTTTTACAAAATAAAAAATATACATTTAAATTTCTTCCCTTTTGTTGTTGTATCTTTCCTTCTGTGATTTTGATCTTGAAAAATGTATCTTACTTTGTCCATGGATCACTTATTAGACTTGAGATGTGATGGACTTTATGCAAAGTTTCTCTTTAATGGGATTGCGATCCTGGTCGTCTCTTTGTCTAGGTATTTGTTTAGCCTGAATTTGATTATGACAAGCGAGCATGCTTTTGATGTTTAAGCTAGGAAGTTCACTTTTTCGTCTTTAGGCATATCTTTTTCCCCCAAAGGAACTTAGTAATTCCCTGGACCCTAGATAGTAGATGACCCTTAAATTTTTAGGGCTCCTATCATTTTTCATTAGAACTGTTAAAATGCAATTTATTTTCATTGTTTGCATCATTTGAGTGAATTGCTCAATTTATGCTTGAATTCGGCAGATTGTTTTTCTCCTGATGGTGATACATCTCTTGTCAAGAAGCTCTTAGGGAATTTTAATTGGAATTGTTCTCTATGAAAGGGGAAATTAGCTAGTAAAGTAGGTTAGGACCCAATATATATTAAAAAAGGTAGGTTAGTGTCCAAGGACTATCTTTTAAGCAACAAGTATATAAAGATAAGTTGGATTATCATTTCCAATTTTATTTCTTTCTTTTGATTCTTCTTTTACCTATATGTTTGAGATGGTAAACATTGAAGAACAAATGGTTCTTATTGCAAGGGAAGGGTGAGAGGATGGAAGGTGGAAAGGAAAGGGAGGGATCAGTGCGTGAGGCTAAAAACCTTTGTACAATGACTTTTCAAATGGGACACTTATTTTGGGACATCCAAAAAATGGAAAGGTGGATACTTATTTTGGAACGGAGGGAGTATATGTTTGCATCCTTTTAGTTTTTGCATTAAATTCACATTTAATTAAGTTGACATTTATTTCTTAATGAAATAGCATGGGGGGTATTCTGCTGCATATATTTAGTGCCTTTTTGTTGGGAGTGAAGATTCATATATAATTATGGTTGAAGTTGGGATATTCTAGTTGACTTCCTTACCTTAGAGTTCAGGTACACACCTCTATTCTTGTGTAATGTCTTTGATCATTCAACAATGTGTTTCTTACTGCATTCAGGCTTTGGGAAGTCGCATGAGATCATTATTACCCCCTTCCCATAGTTTGTCGTGGCATGAGCCCCCTTATTCTTACAGACCTGCTATGTGACTTTCTTTATTTTGTTATCTTTGATTGGTTCTTATTTATATTTCAGATCAGTAATGAGATGATAAATTTGGAGGCTTTGGTAGAAGTGTTAGTTGATCTCTGCACTCTTGAAAATGTAAGTTATTGATTTTTTTTGGACTTCATGTGTTTGATTTTAGTGATTTGACAGCTCTTTCGGTCTCTAAAAAGTTTTTCTTTCCCTGGTGTGATGGGACCAATTCCTTAGGATAATAGATTTGGGGCCCATGCAATGTGGGGTTACTTCAAACTAAATCAAATCAGCAAAATTTTGGCATCAATTTCTTGCCAAGCGGAAGCTTCTTTTCTATTTGGTATACAATTTCTATCTTTTAGGGGGCCATTATCCATTGCATTATGCTGTGGGTAAATCTTGCTATGAAGTGGGGGAACTTGGATTGAGTCTGAAGGTAGCCACTTTGTGCAAATAATAGCAGTGGTTCGGTCTTTACCGAGTCTGTCTCTCTCAGAACCCTTGACTAACTAGGATCAATTATGAGTGATGATGTTCTTATAAATATTTTCTATCAAAATTACAAGGATGTTAGATGTTGAATCATGGTGTGATTTAGCAGTTTAAAATGATTCCAAATGAGAATGAAATGGCTTTGTCAATTTGTTACATAGCAAGATTCTAGTCTTGTTCGTTTCACTACACTTTAAATGTTTTTTGACATCAAACTACAGAGTCATGAGATGAACACAAACTTTGATCTCTTTTGATTCCTATGTTTTAGAGGGACATCATTATCATCATCTTAATCCCATACGAATGGAGTCGGCCACATGGATTTTCAAGTCCCAAAGAAAGGGAAAATATCTAATTAAACACCAAGCAAACGATCAAGGGTATAGTTACTTTATTCATGGAACACTAGGAGAGGATATTATTCCTGTGTCATCTTGCAATATCGTGAGACGACTTAAAGTCGTACCTCCAATAAATGGCCAAGGTGATGGAGTCAACTGTGATTACTTTCAGATTATATATAAGTTCTGGTTTTGTTGTAATGGGTTGCCTAATCAAATGAATCAAATCATCCTCCTTTAATCTTGATACCATTGCGTCTAGTAAACTTGAAGTTGGTTGAATCCTTGAACACTGGTCTACATTGCACTTGGTGGCGCCAAAAGTTTGCTGGATTCATCAGTCATGCTTGGAAGTCTTTTAGTTGTGTATGTCTGCTGTTGGGTTTTGTTAGTTTGTAGAGTTAGTCCTTAATATAAATTGTAAACTCTGTTTATGTCATCAGCTTTTATATGAATTTGTTTTATTCTGTTTTTATAATCTATTAAATGTGCCACTTGTGTAGCGATGCATCCTCTATTCTTCTTGTCATCTGTTTCATAAGTTACTTCATTGTGCAGGTTGTAATTATTTACAGATCTCTTCATGTATTACACATGGTTTTGAATCACTTGTTGGGTTTGAAAAGAAAATCAGAGAAAAGGTACAGCTTTACATTTTATATATTCTCTTTGTTATTTGGCACATCTTCTGTTAACTGTCAAAGTTTCTTTAGTCTCAGTCTGAAAGAATAAGATTGTTTTTTTTTTTTTAGCCTAATGGTACTTCCTCACCTTCCAAAGGAGAAGGTCGAGGGTTCAAGTCCCCACAGGGGCATTGTGGATGTGTGAGTATTGTTTCTTGCCAATGAGATTGTATTTATTTGAGAGGTGCGTGCCTTTTAAGTCTATTACAGTATTGGTCACCTCAAACTATGTCTGTCTGTTAGTTTTAAATATTCAAGGGAGAAAGGTTCTTAAAATTTCTTAGGAGTTAGTAGAATGTGGAATCATAGTAAAAATTGTGTCTGCATACCCTCCAGCGGCATGAGAAGTGAGTAGCCTGCTAATTACTTGATCTGAGAGTTACACCGTGGATGCTAATAGGACCTAGATGGGGTGAATTGGTCCTCGTTAAACTTTGACTAATTTTCTGATTTAAACTTTCTATTTAATTAATTGATCCATTGTGTTTTTAACAAATTTCCAACTCAATGAAACTCACTTAATCAATAATCATGCAAATTATTAAACAAGCAAACGTTGAAGTAGTAAGTGGTAATATAGAAACCAATTTACGTGGAATACCCCAATAGAGGAAAACCACGCCACCATGGGGAGACTATCTTGAGTCAACAAATCAATATAACCGTGAAGACATACAAGGCTACCTTCTAGTTACATTTTTCACATTCTATGATTACTAGCTTGTTGATTTAACATTTTAACCACCGCTCCAAACTCCTCTCTTGGAATAATAAGCCACTTCTCTCCCATTAGCAATCGTTCCCATGTAATCTGCCTTCTCTCCTCATTTGTCAGCCAACCATTTCTCTATGAAAACTAACATTCTTTTTGAGTAGGGCCTTCACAATTTTGATGCAAAGATAAGATGGATGCCTGTCGCTATTTTCTCTTTAAAGTTTTTAAAGCAAGCTCCGAGAACAAATTGAATGATCACGCACCAAGTTCTAAGGTTTTGGTTTTCTGTCCCAAGCTATGCTGTCCATAAGAAAGTAAAAAATCTTGCATATTTGCTTTAAATCCCTCAATAATGTGTATGCGGAGTAAAAAATCTTGCATATGTTCTTACATCATACTGGATCATTGATTTCCTTTTGTCTCCTTTATCTTTTTGTTCAATTTTCTCAAGATTCTCATCTTTTGGACATGCCTTGGCCACCCTACTAAAGTCTGTCTTAAAGCTTAGCTTCCGTTATTGCTCCTTTTTATATTCTGAAATACTCTATAATAGACAAATTTACCATTATTCAATAGTTTAAGCTTTTGGAATATGTGGTGGTTAACATATCTAAGACAGGAAGTTTTTGTCTTCATGCCCCTTCGCCTACCTGATAATACTGATAATGTTCCACAATTGTGGGAGTTCTGAGATAACTGTGGTTTTCTATCATTACTTATTTAAAACTCTTATATTGTGTGGCCGAATGCACTTCTGGTACAACTCGAAATTCTTATTGTTCATTTCCTTCCCCTTTTCTTGGACTGGGTATCCAGTGCTTCTACTTACATGTTTAGCTTTTTTGAGTATATTGGGTTATGTTGATCCATATAATGTTATTGGTGGGGGACACATGTCAGTTGCATCAGAATCCAAGAATTGCTTGGTGAAGATGATTTTATAAATCCCACAAAGGAAAGCTAAAGAAAGTCCTGGAGAAGAGTACGAGAGCGTCTGCATATGTGTCTTAAATTCCAAAGACCCTTTAAACGATCGGATGTATTTTTTTAACTCACAGAGAATTTGAAACTAATTCACATATAAAATTGGCAAAAACAAGCCAAGTGGGCACATGTTTGTGGTGTTAGTTGTATTTACCATATTGTTTTTCATCTGACTACCCTAAGATATGGTCAAGACATGTATCATATACATTTTCACTCTCTTATGCAGCTTGTAGTATGTAGCGAGGGTATACAAATTGTGTGCCTCGCAGTTATTTTCATGGTTGGCCATAATTTCTGTTGTTCTTGCACATTATTCTTTTTGAAGGACTTCTCCTTTATGTCTTATGCCTTTCTAAAAATTGCTCCTCATCTCTTCTTTCACTTGCTTATGAACTTTGATTTGATCTTTCCAGTGTACTGTACTCAGGGATAATGTCATGGTCGAGGTACCTTCCTCTGGGAACAACACTGTATCTGGGAGTGCTGGAACTGGAAGCTCTCTCTTTGCATATGTCAATGAGACATCTGATTTAGGCCATGTTCCATTTCAAGCGAGGTTTTTTGATGCAGAAAATCTTGGCAAGAATCATGACTGTACAGTGTCCCTTTCATGTATAGATTGGGTCTCTATATTTGAACTGATGCACCAAATTGCCATGAGGAACAATGAAAAACTTGTAAGACTAGAAGCTGTTTCTATCATGAATATGATTCTTGTCACTAGTGATGCTTATTTGGAGAGGGAGAAGTAAGTTTGTAGTAGTTCTTTGTGTTTTGAGTGTCCTGCATTTTTTATTGTTGTCTTTTAAATTCTTAATGAAATCCTTGTTGAAGTAGATTTGGACGGGTGCTGGTGTTTCAGAGTGTTTCACAATTGTTAAAGAAGGAAGCTGGCTTGCATGTGCAAAAGCAAGCTGTGCATTCTTTATATCTGCTACTAAATTGTAAGCCTCTCTCTCTCTCTCTCTCTCTCTCATGAAGTATAAATAATTGATCGTATAATTTACAGATTGTGCATAAATTGTTTAAACTAATTCTCTTCTTTAGGGCAAGCTTATCTCCTTACTATGTTTGTTCTCCTGCCAACTTTGCTTTAGAATTTTCTTCAACCAGCTTGTATATATCTGTACATGTTTAGGACGGAACTTTTGATATCTCATAGAAATATTTTTTTTTGATAAGTAATATCTCATAGAAATATTTATCTTCACTTCTAGGGTATTCCCACTTTCCTTGATTCATGGAACTAATTCATAATGTGTTCCTATGAATTACATGTTGGGATAACAAATTTACCAGTTGAAAAAAGAAAAAAAAAATTTGTTTGTCTTGTGTTCTTATTTTTTTATTTTTATTTATTTATTTATTTATTTCCTAGTTGGTACTCACACACACTTGTCTCTTTTGAGACTTGAACCGCTGACCTCCCTTTGGGAAGTAAGAGGCTGATACCGTTAGGCCACTGGCCCGTTGGTTTGTGTTCTTATTTTTAGTTGTGTGTTTGGCGGGGGGAAGAGATGGCATATAAATTATCTAAAATTAGGTGACTTGACATGGAGTTGTTTCTTGCATGAAAATATAAATGGACCTATTTCCTTTCCCTAGTGAGTTCTGACTTCTCTGGAATATTTCAACAACCTTACATATTCTTCCCTAAATTTGGTGACATCAGTTCTCACCAAAATTAAGTTCTCATGCCTTCTTTTGGGCTGTAAGTTTGATTGTATCAGAAAATTGTTCCATCTGGATAAACCTCAACTGTAACTTCCCCTTTGACCTTCTTGAGTGTTTCATTATTACTGGAGCAATGTGCGAATCAATAGGACAGAAGTCGCTGAACATATTGAACTATGTGAAAAGGCATTCCTGGGAATGGGTTGGGCCATCCTACTCAAAACACTTTGAACTTGAAGTAGACCAACCTATCTGATCTACAATAGTTACCTGCTCAATTTGCATTATGCAAATCCCTTTATACTAAGGGAAGGTGGGTAATATGGGTTAGTATTGATGTTTTATGAGACAACCTTCTGATTTGGAGAAGATTGGTGAACCGGTTTGATGTATAATGTGCTTGAATTTGTGTTTATTTTGTGTTCTTCATTCTACATTCCTACAACACATCCATTACAAACTTGTGTTCTACCCAATCATTTTGTAAGCACATTATTTCTTTACTGCCAGAGATTCAATGCAATTGGTCACCCAACACAATTCCCCCGCTATTGGAGAAGTTATTATAGATGTCACAAATAAAGGAAAAGATGATGATTTTTTTTTTTTAAAGTGGTTACTTTTTGCGTAACAAAGAATGACAAGTGCACTGCGAAGGGGAGTGATAAAAAATGTGGAACATTGTAGAAATAAAAGATAAAAAAATCAAGGGATAATTACACATACATCCCCTATAGATTGCCTAAATAACATGGATCTCCCTTGTAGTTTCAAATATAACACTGACATCCCCTCTTGTTCAGGTCTGAGCAACACTGGCCTCCCTTGTCGTAAAATCTGACACTCTTGTATACTGATGTCATGCTAAAATTTAGTTATAACCTGAGAATGCCCTTAGAAAGCTTGGAAAGGTTATTTTGTCCATATGTTGTAATGCCAAGTGACTAAAATGTCATTCCTTACATAAAATAAGTGGACAAAAATACCCTTTGGTAAAAACTTTATAAAATCCCCTCTCTATATATAGTTTTTTGTATACATTGACCTTAGGGTCCGTTTGGTTAGACAGAAATGTATGATGGAAAGTGAAAGTGAAAGAAAGTGAAGTGAAAGAAAGGAAAATCAAGTTTCCAGCATGCATTTGGTTAGCAGAAATTTTTTTCATGAAAGTTGTGGGAAAATATTATTTTGCTAGTTTGGATAGCATGAAAGAGAAAAGAAAATGATTTACTTACTAAAACTATCCTCATGATTTCAAATACTTAAAAATAAATTAATTTTGTATTAGATGAATCCTCTTTATACTTAATTATTTATATTAATTTTTAACAAATAAATAGTAAAATGATGGATTATTAATAATAATTATTATTATTTATATTCATATTTAAATTAGAACAAACCAAGGAGGACTGGATTTTAGTTATCAAATTCTTTTTATTTTGTGTTTTAAATAATAATTATTTATATTCATATGTAGAATGTAGTTCATTTATCATAAAATACTCGTGTTTTTATTGGAATATTAAATATATCTTTTTTGCAAGCACCTCGCAGAAACACTAAATGACAATACTCTAGGATAAAAATGATCATGCAAAAGTAACATTTTATAGTTAATGCATAATAATTTTTTGATTCATGCATAATTTATCGGTCCACTTCCATATTTTATGACTATGAACCATGCAACTTTTTTTATACAAAAATCACCTATGATTCGAGTATAAAACTCTATTAAGTTTCAAAACTTTATAGATAATAAAAAATAAATATTATTTTGATTTCCATCCATGTGAGATGGTTCTCATATAAATAATATGATGACTCTAATTCATGTCTTCTCATATATCTATTAAGATATTGGTAAAAATTAAAAGTAATATAATTCTACTATTCAATCCTTAATTTATTTTAAAAAAATTTAAGTAACGACGGTATAAGATAGGATGAATCCAAATATGTGTTCTAGTTAATAGATGGCATTATTTAATAACCTCTGTGAAAAAAATTGGAGAAACAATTCAATTGGGGCATAACAGGAAACTTGGAAATTAAATGACAGTTTTGAGCGAGAAAGTAAATTTTCTTGTGTTTTATGCGGGGAAATAGTTTAGGAAAATTTATCCGATACGAGAATCCACTTTCCCCAAAATTTTCTCTTTCTAGGTAACCAAACTCCAAAAAATTTTAAAAAAGTTCCGTTTCTTTTCCTTTCTACCTACTTCACGCTAACCAAACAAACCCTTAGAGATTTGATAATTTTGGGGGAGAATATAGAGGGGATATGGGGAGATTGCATTCATGGAGGGGTTTAGAAATTTAGGGTTCTAGAGGGGCCCTTTGATTTGGAGAAAGGGCCCTGTGAAAGGGAGGAGGTGGAATGAGAGAGAGAGAGTGGGACAGTGTTTATTGCGACTGTTTATTCTCGAACTACACTATTTTCTGGTGTATATATATTGTTTTCTTTTCTTATCCTTTACTGGTACTCGAGCTAATTTGTAACAGGCTGTTTCCTTTAATTTTTGTTGTCTATGGGTTTTTTTGAATGTTGAAGCAAGGGATTTTTGAAAAATTAATCTTTTGTGGTAAGTGGTCCTGTTTCAATCACTCTTTTCTTAACAGTGTTTCTAGAATCCATTTTATTGCAATTTAGTTTTTAGCAAAAAATAACATCAAGGATTACCTTCGCATTTTGTGAGACCAACGGCATTAGTCTATGCTTGGATGAATCAGGGAACTGACACTTTTACATGTTTATGTGTGGAAGTTAAGTTTGATGGTTCTTACTTTAGGTTGCAGTATACTTTCTTTTTTATTTTATTTTATTTTGTTTTAATTACAAGTGAACGAAAATTTATTTTGCCTATCAACTATATATGATCCTTTTGGAGATGACGTTTATGTGCGGAAGTTAAGTTTGATGATTTTCTCTTTAAGTTGCAATGTGCTTTTTTTTTTTTTTTTTGTTGTTGTGATCAATTACAAGTGTGTGAAAATGTATTTTGCCAATCAACCTATACATGGTTTTTTGTAGATACGAGAAGTGGTGATTGATATCTCATTTTTCTTTGTATTTTGTGTATCACCCAATTAGGGATGTCAACGGGGCGGGTTCAGGACAGGGCACCCCTTTCCCAAAACCGTCCCACCAATAAAAATCTTCCCAAACCCGATTCGGGGCGCCTTCGCATCGGAGTTGGGGCGGGTTCAGGGCACCCCAATATACATATTTTTTAAGAAAAACAATTCAAATTTGAACAAATTTACGATAAATTTTTTTAGCAGAGTCAAATTAACAATCATAATAACAAAAATGTTGTTAAAACTTAAAATTATCATAAGAAATAAAGGAAAAAGAAAAATTATAGCTAATAAAAGAATATTTATTTAAAAATTAATTATTAATCGAGGCGGGTTTTAAACTCACCCGCCCCTAACTCTATGAGGATGATCCCAAACCTGACCCAATAGGGCAGGACGGAGCGGGTTAAATTGACACCCCTACACCCAATGTTCTTGCTGACATTGTCAATTGAAGTTACCAAATGTGAAATAACTCTTGCTGTTATTCTCATTTGAGCTCATTATATATATTCCCTATTTTGTGATGGGTTTACAATTTTCTATATTCTTTAATTTTCATAACTGTTTCCTTTGCCTATCATCCAAAATGTTGGTGTTGTCTAAAGTTACTAATTCATTAATATGTAGTCATTTACTCACAAAAAAAAAAAAAAATAAAATAAAATAATAATAATAATAATAAAAATAAAGTAAGGTGTGCTACAATGAAGATATTGTAATATTCATGGCCATTTGGATGGTTGATATTTATCTGTATATTACTTTGCCTATTTCGTCTAGATAATGTGATGGAGATCAATGGTAAGAATCTTTAAAAGTGTATAAAAGGCACCAAAAGGAGGATTCTAAAATTCGAGCCGGCATAGGCTAGATAATATGGGCCACATGGAGTTTTGAATAATTGGGAGATTTGGTAAACTTTTAGTTACTTTAATTATGCTGTTAGGTAAGTATTGATGACCTTAATAATAGGGTAATCCTAGAGTCAAATATTGATTGCCTCAATTGTGGGGTGATTACTTTTATTATATTATAGAGTCAACTTTTGATAACTTTAATTATGGGGTACTCCAAGGGTAATGAGTTGCACTCACAAAATGTTATAAAAGGGGTAGAATGTAATCTTGGTGAGGCAGTCCATGAATGAATAAAAAAAAGTGTTATTAAATTTCTTTGTGAGTGATTCACAAGATATAAGGGTGTGACGTCTTCTGTAGGTGTGATGCCAATAGGATTTTGTTGTTTTCAATCCTTTTTCTCTACTAACATCTTGAACCATAGCTCTGTTTATTTTGATTTCCAGCCAATAAGCTCCTTTTTTATTTCAACTATTTGAAGCTATTTATCAAAAAAAAAAGTCAATGAAGAAGAGAATGAAGAAGAAAGAGAATACTTCGTTCTACTCTCTCTAAGTATATAGGAGATGTAGTACAATTTATGACTGATGTGGAGTAGTCGGTGGGTTTGGCATTGTAAGGCGTGAGGGCATTTTCGTCTTTTTAAAGAAACATATTATACATTTAAAACCCGTTAAAGTATAATGGGTATAATAATCATTTAACACTTTCGGGTAAACGTCACACTAACAGGCAGGGACGGAGCCAGTTAAGGACTGGGGGGGCACGTGCCCCCCCTGGATTTTCTCCCTCTCTTATATTCTATTTCTATTTTATAATAATATATATGTTTTTTTATGAAAATGTGGAAAGTGCCCCCCTTGAAGTTTCTCATTCTTTATATAATTCTATATATGTTTCCTATTCTTTCTCCAAAATTATTTCCTTAATAGTTATATTCTATATCTTTAAATTAATTTTATCCCAAAAATATCACTATCTCTTTCTATATATATATATATATATATATGTACTTATAAACATTGATTTATATGCATGTACATTATATTGTAAATATATGTTATGGTATAATACTATAATGTGCCCCCCCTGAATTTTTTTTCTGGCTCCGTCCCTGCTGACAGGGAAGGTCAGTGTTATCTTTGAAACTAGAGGGGAAGTCCTTGTTACTTAGGTAATCTGTAGGGGAGGAAAGTGTAATAATCCCAAAAATTAAATATAAATGTTGCCGCATTGGGTGAGCTATGGGTGCACAATCCCACATCGCCTGGGTGTGGAAAGGGGAAGTGCTATATATGTAAGCTTTGTACACTCCAATTGGCATGAGGCCTTTTGGGGTAAAATCCAAGAATAAAACTTTGCGGGCTTGAGCACAAAGTGGACAATATCATACGATGTGGTGGAGTGGGTTGTTAACTTAATGGAGAAATATATTACCAAAGATAAATGAGGGTGAAAAGAGGTTCCGTGTAGTCAATTCCATGTAATTGGTGATAAAGGATTGAGTGTTCAGATTGAAGTCCCACGTATTGAATACGCAAAATGTATAGCTTTGTTTGAGGAATTTTAATGGGAATAATTTTAAGTGAAATAGTGCAGAGAAAGCTTTAAAAATCTTATTATTAAAACATAGATAGGCTAAAGATAGATTTGTAGTAAAGCAGAATGTTAGGCGATACAGAGGACCAGTATTGGGAAATGTGAACTTAATTATTATTTTGGAGAGTTTAACTGTACATAGTTAAAGAATGATTCTAATTTGGTGTTTTCAGATACACCTGAACATCAGTCCGTTGGTTAGATGTCTGAACTAGGGCCAGGTTTGTAACAAACCTTGTTAATGGTGCATCATTCGCCAAGACCATCCTGTCTTCATATAGAATTCCACTTTGTTCTTCGGCTTCCTAGTAAACCCACCAGCGCAAACCACCTGACTTTTGGTTTGGTTGCCATTTTGTCCATTTAGAGCTGGTACTGTGCTGGTGTACTTGTAGCAATTTGAATAGCTCCTCACAGCACCGAGCTCTTATCCAAATGATAAGGGTTGCTTCATAGGGTAAAATGAAAGCATTGACTTAGATGGTTTGCCATGTGAATGAAGACTGAAGTGTTCCAGTAACAATGCCCAAGGTGGGGGAAATGCCTGGGATATTTGGGGCTTAATAAAATTTACATGGGTTGAGATAAAAATGCATAAATTGAGCTTTCCCTGAAGTTGAAGTTACGGCCTTTGACAGTGGAATGGAGAAGCAATATTAATGCAGATGATCCTAAACAATTGGGGTAAGACTTCAGTTAACCTTTCTTGGCCTTTTAGCTAAGATCAAGTGTAGTATTTGTTCTTATCAAGTTAGTATCTGATATGTGGGGCCCTCACGATATTAAATTACTTTTTAGGGAGAGGGGCCACTATTGTTGCTTGCTACTGAGCTTCTCGCGCGTTGCCTTGGCGTTGCACTAAAGCCTTGGCCTGGCACACACCTAAAAAAAAAAATGGAAAAAAGAAAAGACCACTTGTTAGAATTAAAGGTCCTACCTTGGTGGTCAACAGTCTTTTCTGTTCTTTTTACACGAACAAAATACTCTTTGCAGGCCTCCTTTCCCCTCCTAGTATGAAGCATAGATTATGTAAATGCAAGCTCATACTTCTATTCAGGAAAAAACAAAAATCATACTCCGTACTTCTTTCCTGTAGAATTCGATTTGTCTTCCAAAATTTGAATTTGCAGTAGAAGTCCACTTTTCTATCTATACATGTGATGTTTTTCTAATGTTGATATGCTGTGTGAAATGAAGGTCCACAACTAATGGGCATGCTATGTTCTGGTTGTAAAGAGGAGGGGGAGAATGCTGGAGTGGTAAATAATGATGCAAGAAGTGCTTCTGCTTTTGAAGGGTTTGGGGGTGTCCTTGAGGGTTTGGCAGATTGTATAGATTGCAGTGGAAACAGTATGCAGGTAAGAATGGTATCAGATGAGTTGTATTAAATTCAGTCATCAATTTGACGATGTTCAAATTCTTCTTGCTTCTTTTTAAAGATAAATTATTTCAAGGGAATCCTGCAAGTGGATATGGATGTTGTATAAATAAATTATATCGAATACAACTTACACTTGATCTGCTTTAAATAAGAGATCACACTTGTTATCAGTACCACAGCATTTGCCATTTTGCTTCTCCTATTTTTAGCCATATGGCTTGGGCCTTGGAAAGTGCAAGGGGGGGACAGAAACCAAATTATTTTCGAATGCTTAAAACTACTATTTGAAAATTTTCTTCCTTTTTTGTCATGTCTTTAGTTCCTTATGAGTTCCAGAATGATACCAAATATGGTTTGAAAGTATGCTGTGATTATGAGCTCCTGTTTCTCTTGCCTGGAAAAGGTGTCCAAAGGGGTTGGAGGAGACTCCGTGCTTCTCAATGAAGTTGGGTCAAGGGTAACCCGTGTCAATGTCACCCATTGGATCTCTAGCTATTTGAGAACGTTGGTCCATGCATTTATAAACTTTTGTAAGCATATTAATCTATCCGCGTGTTGTTAAAACACTTGAAACTAGTCCAAAGTCATTTATTGAATTTGTGTGACTGTTTGTTTGCCTTTTTAGTTCTTTTATAGGATACTGTTTATTGTAATTCTTACCTGAATAATACTTGTTTCAACTATTTCACAATCTTAAAAATGCGATGAACTGTCAGGAATTGCAGCTTCGAAGGAATACCATTATGGTGCTGGCTTTCTTAGCATCGTCAGGGAAATCTGGCTTTGAAATGATGTTGAGTCATAGGCTTCAAAATGGGACCAACTTTCTTGGGTTGATTGTGCGAATCTTGGTATCAGAGATGGACATAGAATCATCAAAGTCTGTTCAGCCTCCTGATATTTTCAAAGAAAGGTAATTGTGATTATAAACGAGTGTTTCAATGCCTTCCTAAAGTTCTGTTATTCATTCCTACACATAGGATTGCTGTTATATGTATGTATTCATGTTGATATATATGTTTGCACTTCTTTTCTAAATAATGTGTCCAGTTCAGAAGAGCGACATAGTCCACATCGAGGGTAATACTAGGGGAAGAGGAAGACCACAGGTAACGTGGGTATAGTAGTAATAAAGGATATGATAGCATGTGGTTTGACTGATGCTATGGATTTAGATAGAGCAGAGTGGAAACATAGGATTCATGTAGCCGACCCCAAGTAGTTGGGAAAAAGGCTTAGTAGTGGTGGTGTTCTAAATAATGCATCCATTCATTTTTCATTGCTCTTTTGAAAAGGATCATTACAGGATATCATATAGAAGTTTCCTCATTTTTATGTTCTTACCAACATTATTATAAATTTGGTCCTGCCACCACATTTTATGACTTATTTGCATGATCAAGTGTTAAAACACGGTAGACTTGTTTCATGTATGATGGGATATTCTAATTCATAGCTTGTCATTCTCGTAACTTCTTTCAGCTGTGGATATAGGTATTAGTTGTTGTTGTTGTTGTTTTTTTTTTTTTTTTTCAAATGATGAGCGCATCCAATTTGTTGAGAAATTTACACCAAGGCACCAAATTTCCTAGGATCTTGTAAATTATTATTATTATTATATTTTTTTGACTTGGCAAATACATTGCTGAGTCCATTTTATGCTGAATTATTTATACCAGCAACTTATACCATGAGACAATTTTTTTTTTTTGTGCAGAACCTTGCTAATACGAGAGGCACTTATCCTTCTGAATAGACTAGTGTCCAATCCTCAATATTCCGCTCCTGTTTTACGACTATTAACAGCCAACAGAGATGTTACCTGCTTGACCATTGATATTGCAAATAGATTATCAAGGAAAGGCGGGTGGTTATGGCAGTCTGACAGCATGACTAGGCAGATTAGAGAATCTGAAATTGTGGACTTAGCTCGTGTATTTAAAAGAAGAGTTTTTACCTTTTTAGGAGATAGCATACTATAGAGTATTCCATCTGATTATTCAAGCCATATGTAAACTGGTACAGACCACCATTAGTTTTGCAAGGATGGAAGCTGATAAGACAGTGGAATAGGAAAATAAGCGAGGTTGAAGAGTCTGAGCTCTGTACAGCAGATGTACATTCAGAAGATGTAACCCTTTAGCAGGGAAGTTTTGACAATGCTCGACAAATATAATTCAGAGACAGTTGCACCAAAACAAATACCCATTGATGCAAAGTTCTTTAAGAGGTTTTTGGTTCATTTTTTGGGGTTTTAATGATTTGACTCAGAAGTTACAATGACTATTATTAAGTCATATTAATGTGCTTTTTGTTTGGTGGTTCTGATAACTCGCGTTGAAGAATGTGGCCTTTTGTCACAACCCAACAAATATATGGTATCAAGTCGTCATCTAATCTGAACAAATTTAAGCATTGTTTAATGTATCCATGAATGCACAATAGTGAACGTACCTGCGCTATAATACTTGCTTCTAGCAAGTCAGTCTATTACTCATGCGAAATGCTTTCATTAGTACTGCTAAATCAAATCCTTGTCACAATGCCAAGCGGATGACAGTGGCTCATGAACTCTGGCAGTGCGATTACAACTTTGTCTAAAGATGTGGTGACAAACATTACCGGTAGGTGTGACAAATTTATGGATGGTTTTTTTTATTTTTTAAGTTAGTACCAGGAACTTACCTAGGCAGGGTCCTTTCGGGACTCACCCTAGGCTACAAATCTAGGGGTGTAGAGCTTTGCCTCAAGAATACACCGGTTAAGTCGGAGAAATTGGAAGGCTTGGTAGGAGTCGAACACTGGCCGATTGGATGCCAGCCCCGAGCCTCTACCATCACTGCCAAGCCCCCGGTGGCATTTATGGATGGTTTTTGATATTTTATTATCGACACATTCTCGTAGTTTCATCACCATGAACTCGGAGATTTTTTCTTGGTCAGGAACTCAATGCGTGATGGTAGTTTGTCTAAAATTTAAGGCGAATAATCGAAGATATTCAAGCAAGGCATTGGCAAATCTTCTACTGTCTGAATATGCCTTCATTGCATGAAAATGTAGAACCTTGAGCCCCAGCTTTAATCTGCAATGGAAGATGATCATATTGAATTTTCACAAGAGTGGGCAAGACAAGAAAGCATTAATATAATATGATTTATATCCACTCCAATTAAAGCCTAGTTTAACAAGCCTTAAAAAAAGATAATAGCATCCATTTGCATCCTTGCAACAGTAGCCAGTTAGATAGCAGTATAGAATCAATTAAGGGTGGTTGTGTTAGCCTAATGGATATATATATATATATATATATATATATATTTGCATTCTAAAATAGAAAGTATGTTTCTTGCTAAGATAAAAATAAATATAATTAATTTTTTTCAAATTAAAAAATTATGCTTTTTTCTTCTTATGTAATCTTAAGGACTTAAACTTTGGTTTAAGACGGTATTATCAATTATGACCATGGAAATAATATAAAGAAAATGGGAATTAGGAAAAGGTTAAGAGTTAGGATGGATATATGATCATGGCAAAATTGATTAAACAATGTCCGTTTAAAAATACAAAGATTGGAAAAAAATAGAAAAAAGAAAAGGAATCAAGAAAAAGTAATGTGCTTTATTATTATTATTTTCAAGGCAAGAAAGAAACTTTCATTGATGAGAATCACTTTTGGAACATCATCAGATTATATTTTAGTACCCTTTTTCTTCAGCCCAGGTGGACTCAATAAATGAATTATGGAATTAGCTTTCCTACAAATCTAATTCGTTGTTGAACACGTAAGAATAAGATTAATATCCTCCCAAATAGCAGCAATACAACTTAAAAGACACTTAGATTCAAAGAGAACTTCACAGTCACGCTTGACAATCAAATTAGTATAATCCCACCCCAAACTCCATTTAGTAGCCTTCGTAATTGTTGAAATTTCAGCCATAAGAGCATTACAAGTAATACAGGAACAAGTAATACAAGTGCTTTATTGACGAAACAGGAACAAGTAATACAAAAAGTAATAGAGTGATGTTGAGCCCAAACTAACTTATGTCTATCTCTCTCTATTATATAAAATTTTCTCTACAGATTGCGTACCATTAAACGACCATTTTGAAAGGAAAAAATTCGAACTTGGGGAATATGAGCTATATCCGCACCTCTTTTGTTTCGATCCAGCTTCTTAAGCAATTCATGGTGCACATCAAGCAACTCAAGCGATTGAAGTTTTGTTAGATGTTCAATACCTGATGGCACCTCCTCTACTAATTCACAACCCAGTATACTTAGTGTTTCAAGAAGTGGCATAGCACCTTCCTCCACTCTCACCCATCTCAATCCTTTTAATTTGACAAGGCATAAAGTATTAAGCCTCTGAAACCCTCCAGCCTTGATACACAATTCCTCTCTTTCATGAGCGTCTCCAAGTATAAACTCCATCAGGTTGGGCAAATCTTTAAGGGATTGCATTGGATCATCCCTTAACTTGCTACATACTAATTTTACTTTCACCAGGTTATGAAGAGAGAGTATCCAATTTGGTAACTTCTCTAAACGTCCATGCAAATATAGCCTTTGAAGAAACCGAGGAGTTGAAGACAAGGATTGAATATCAAGGATCTCGTCCTCTTCTGTCGAGTTCACTTCCAGTGAACGAAGGTTGCTCAACTTTTCAATGGAGGAGCACAGACCCTTTCCATCTTCCCTCCTCAGCTTTACAATCCCTAATCTCCTCAGTTGGGTCAGCTTCCCTAGCTCGCTCACTATAGCACTGCTACCATCACCATGACTTGCCTCGACATAACAAAGCTTCTGCAGGGACGACAAACCACCAATTCCCTTTAATGCTTCAAACCATTTGCACTGCAAAATTGTTGATATTGTTCTATCAAAGTCCAGTGCCTATACACCAGGAGATGGCGAAGTCGTTGGAGCTTCAGAATCTCAATTGGAAGCACAGTAAGAAAGGTGTTTTTAAGATCCAGAGTTTCAAGATTTACAAGGTTTCTGATGGACTTGGGAAGCATTTTCACCTTTGTCCCTCTCAAGCTTAGATCCTTGAGATGAAACAATTTCAAAACTTCATCTGGAACCGTCTCCAAAGAAGCATCTCTCAAGTCTAAAACTTTTATCAACTTCAAATTACCACTAAGCAATGTAGGTGTCGATGACAAAGGATCAACCAACCCAAACATGACCATCGAACGAAGTTGGGAGAATTGCTCGATTTGTTGCATAGAATTTACCAACGTATTAGTAGTGTTATGGATTGACAAGCGTCGAACTTTATCCGACAATGGTGTGTTTCCAGCTTCACTGGCGAGTATTGCTACAATATTTTGATCTCTTGACTTGGAAGTAGCAATTTCACGCAGAAGGTCATGGATACGACACGTTCTGGCCCTTCCATCAACACTTGTCTCTGCCACTTGGATCAAACTTCTGTTGAGAAGCTCATAGAGATATCCCTCCGCAACTTCTTCAATTGTCTTTCCAGCTTCCCTGATTTGCACAAATCCTTCTGCTGTCCACAGTCGAATCAATTTCATACACTCAATCTCGTGATCTTCCGGGAAAATGCTCAAATACAAGAAACAAATTTTGAGATACCAAGGCAAATCGTTATAACTCAGAGAGAGTATATTTTTCATGCTCTGAAGCTTATTGTTACCTTGTAATTCCCCTCCAAGGCTGCGATTCAGCATATCCCAATCATCAATTCTACTATGGCTCTTCGTTGCCAAAACACCACCAATAGCCACGATCGCAAGTGGTAACCCTCCGCATCTTTTTAAGATACTTTGAGCAATATCTTCCAAATGAGGAGGGCAAGAAGAAGAGCATCCCTGAAATGCTTTTCTACAAAACAGAGTCCAAGACTCTTCCCAGGACAATGGATTCAAACGATAAACATTACCATCAATTTCTTTGCAAGAGGTGGAAGCTATATCTTCAAAACGTGTTGTAAGAATGATTCGACTCTTGGAATTGTTTTTGGGCAAAGCATATCTGACAGCTTCCCAATCATCAATACTCCAAATGTCATCAAAGACAACCAAGTAGCTCCTCTCCTGCAAAAATTCATTAATCACCTTTTTGAGCTTGTTAATGTCCATCTCTCGCAATCCTTGGGGGACGGATTGCTCTATCTCACCAAAGAGCTGTTGAATCATGTCTTGTAGGAGTTCCACCATCTTGGCAGATTCAGAAACAGTGAGCCAGGCGTGGCTCTCGAAATGTTTCTTCACTGCTGCATCATCATACACTTTCTTAACAAGGGTGGTTTTACCCAACCCTCCCATTCCCACCACAGAAACCACTTTTAGTACTCCTGAATCGTCTGCCTGATCGACCAGCAAATGAATCAGCTCCTGCTTGCGCTTGTCGATGCCCACAAGCTCAGCTTCTGGTGCAAGGAGTGCATCACCTTGCGAATCATATAATTTGTTGTTGTTTACCGCATGAGTGGTGGAGCTTGAGCCGCCTTCTGAGATATTCGAATTGAGACAAAATCTGTGACTGATGGGATTTATAAGTCCTGGCATAGCAAATTCCTGTTTGGATTAAAGTGACATATGTTTCTGACGTTTATGAAATATTTATGTTTTATATAATTGGTGAATTCAATGTATTATATTTCGATTCATTATAGAATTGATAGTGTCCATTTGATTACAAGAGATATTTATATATATGTTTGTGATGTCAATCTATGCATGATATATAAATAGTAATCATAAATGGTTCATAATCGGTAATTATGGATGGACTCATAATTAATTAAGATTTGAACTAGATCCGCGTTAGGTTGAGATATATTGCGAGAGCCGTCGTATGCAATTGCTCCCTATCACCGTCATGGCATTTGACTCTTAAGTATGAGAAAATTATAGACTCTTTTATTAATTAATAATTACTTTGATTTGTTCGGCGGATTCTTCGGGATCCTTAGACCGACACTTTGGGTAGTTATGTAATTAATAGTTAGAGGGTTATATTTTTAATATTTGCATCGTTGCTACTTGTATTTATTTTGTATTGATTATGGTTGATCACAAAGTAAATTTGAAGGCCTTCGTGTATTTTTAGACAAAATGATTTATTATATATTTATTTATTTAAATTATTATTTTTGTCAAACAAATGTTTTATTGTGATCGAGGCAGAAATAATCAAAAGTACCAAAATAAATATATTAATTAAATAGTCGGATTGATGGCTTTATTTATCCAATAACTAATTATGCATAGAGGGGTCAAAGTGCAATATTGACTTAGAGGTTATTTATTATTTAATTGGAGTTCAATTAATTTTTTTTAGTGGAGTAGAAATTAATTTATGAATTAATTGAATTGGGTCCATGGACCGGGCCAATTATTAATTCATTGTAACCAATAAAATAATAGG